AGAATCCGAGTCCAAGTCCGAGTCCGAGTCCGAGTCCGAGGCCGAGTCCGAGTTTGAGCCTGAGAGGGTGAAAGCCCAAAGCGTTCGTCTCCCAGACCCTGGGGGGTTTGGTGAGCTCCAAAAGTATAGTAGGGGGAGGACTGCAGTGGAGCCAGTTTGGCCAGGAAAGGCCAGTTTGGCCCAGGAAGGCCGGACCCAGTATTGGGTGATGAGCTGCCCACTGGGAAGTCCAAGACTAGAGTGAACACGGACCGACAAGCGGGGTAGCTTGGTGAAGTGTTCAAGAGCCGGCTCTAGTTCCCCCGGGAGATCAACTGGCCGATGCTCCCAGTCCAAGTGTGGGTGGCACTACCTACTTGGATACCTATCGTGGCTCAACGGAACCTCGCTCTAAGCCCATAGCTAGAGCACCTAAAGGCGAAAGGCGGGGAGAGTACCCATGAGGCTTGCGTAAGGCCACGGTGTTCCGAAATGTTGTCCCAAAGTCCCAAACGGTGAAAGGGAAGAGGAGTAGGCCTCTAATGCAGTGACGAAGGATACGGTCACATGGTGAGGAAGTCCCAAAGGATAGTGGGACTTAGCGGTCAGGCCTGCGGGCCTTGATTCAGTGGCAGTGTTGGCGAACACGGCCATAGACTAAAAGGGACTTGGTGGGGACTGGAAAAGAGTTGTCGGGGAAGGCTATTCCCCATGTCTGCGGGCATCCTAAGGATGCTAAGGAGTAGATCTAGGATGATCGCTCATGGACGGACGGCTCAGTCTTTGAGAGACGGAATTATGATGCAGATGGCGTTAGACCACCGGTGTGACCAAGGTGAATGGGCATGGCCAAGTGTAACGGGCTGGTATGTTGGTGGTACCTTGGGGTGTCGGTCATGGGATCGGACACATGGAGCACTTGGACCAAATGCAAAGGTTGGGTGGCATGGATGCCATTCTTAGGGCTAGCAAGCCCCAAGTCCTAACTGGGACTTATGGAGGTTGTGAATGAGACTCCTCCAAGTGGTCGGAGGTGCAGTTAAGTGACTAAAGTAAAATGGAAAAATTAGTCGCTTACAGGTATATCTAACTTCCTTATGCCATTAGGGTAGCTACCTTTTACCCATTTAATCAATTATCTTACACCTCTTCCTTAGTTGCCCCATAGTTGTCAAGTTCTATAACTCATTGCTTGGTGCTTCCACACCTCCATCATTATCTGGGTCACCACACTCCAACCGCATGCCTTCCAGCTTAGGCCATGCCATTCCCGCTTCCATTGGGATTCCCTTGGCAAGGGGTTCTTATGAACCCACCATCATAACCTCAAGGTATTACATCTTGGCACATTTAGTGTCTTCACACCATCGGCCCCACAAGCCTACCCTTATAACACTACTTATTAGTGTCTAGGTCTTTGCCAAGACCAATATAATTGTTCCTCATGCTAACTATCCGTTAGCACCGCACTATAGTGTTTGCACCCAACTCTGGGCCAAAGTTGCTTTCTTTTGGGAACATCTTTCCCACAACTTTAGTATAGCACATTCTGCCATCAATGAGATACCTACTGTTCTCATACTTGGATTTTATGATCCTCCCCATACCTCATGGGGCACCATACACCTCAGTCCAAATGCTCCAACCAATCCCTTAGGACCATTCCCTGACTCTGCTTGAGTCATCCAGCATTTTGGACTTTGCTAATCCAACAACCTGCAAGGTCTCAGTCTTAGAGGTCCCAACTCACTGGAATACAACTTCTTGTATTCATGTCCTACTCACAAAGACAATCTTTGCAAGTGTTACTTTGACACTTGATGATTTTCTTGGGGCTAACTTTTGCCCCTTATGACTACTTGTCCATGTGATGAGAATAGCAACTCATCTTTAAGTACACCCCCAACTCCTTGGATTGTTCCAGCATTTATTAGAGGTAGACCCGGCTACCATTTCAAGGATTGGTGTCCTCTTCTGTATTTGACCTCCCACGGTCAACAATTCCGGTCTCAAATTTATGAGTACCAGCCTCAACCATATAAGGGTAGTCTTGTGACTCCTTTATTGTTTTGGAGTCTGCATCTTTCCCGTGATCCCAACTATAGTTGTTTACCACAACTACATTAGCTCGTTTGCTACGTCAAACGCTCATCTGGATCACATCCTCAGCTCTCTGAGAAAACCCTTATACTGTTCTCAAGATCCCAAAGTCGTTCCCTTACTGGCCCTTTTGCATCCACCATATCGTGCACAAGTTCATGCATGAACTTGAGTGGAGAGCCATGTCCTTTCGACATGCTACTCCTCGAGGATAGGTCCATATCTAGGACCTTCCGATTCCAATACAAGCGGTGATATACTTGGCCCCCAATAAAAGTCAGACTAAGGAACAGCTCTGATACCAAGTTGTAAATAACTAAATTTTCCATTCTACTTTAGTCACTTAACCACACCTCCAACCACTTGGAGGAGTCTCACTCACAACCTCCATAAGTCCTATTTTAGACTTGGGCTTGCTAGCCCCGAGAATGGCATCCCCGCCACTCAGCCTTTGCACTTGATCCAAGTGCTCCACGTGTCCGATCCCATGACCGACACCCCAAGGTACCACCGATATATCAGCCCGTTACGCTAAAGCCATGCCCCTTTACCTTGGTCACACCGGTGGTCTAACACCACCTGCATCACAGTCCCATCTCTCAAGGACGGGGTCATCCGTTCATGAGTGGTCATTCTAGATCCACTCCTTAGCATCCTTAGGATGCCCACAGACATAGGGAATAACCTTCCTCAATATCCCTTTTCCGGTCTTCACTAAATCCCTTTCTGCCCATGGCCATGTTTGCCAACATTGCCACTGGATCGAGGCCCATAGGCCTGACCACTAAGCCCCCTGGTCCTCTGGGACTTCCTCACCACTCAACTGTATCCTTGGTCACTACACCAGAGGACTACTCCTCTTCCTTTCCACAGTCTGGGCCTTTGGGACAACATTTCAAAACACCGTGGTCCTACGCGGGCCTCATGGGTACTCTCCCTGCCTTCCGCCTTTGGGTGCTTTAGCCATGGGCTTAGAGCGAGGTTCTGTTGAGCCACACCAGGTATCCAAGTAGGTAGTGCCACCCACACTTGGACTGAGAGCATCGACCATTCGATCTTCTGGGGGAACTAGAGCCGACTTTTGAACAGTTCACCAAGCTACCCCACTTGTCGATCTATATTCACTCTAGTTTTGGACTTCCCAGTGGCCAGTTCATCACCCAACACTGGGTATGGCCTTCCTGGGCCAAATTGGCCCTTCCTGGACAAACTGGCCCTTCTTGGCCAAACTGGCTCCACTGGGCTCCAACCCCCACACTCTCCCTACTATACTTTTGGAACCCCCTGCAGCCCCCCCCCCCCCCCCCCCCCTGGGGGACGATCGTTTTGGGCTTTCACCCAATTGCCTGTATTAGTATTCGGACTCGGACTCGGACTCGGACTCGGTCTCGGTCCCGGTTTCGGACTCGGACTCGATCTCAGTCTCGGTCTCGGTCTCGGTTCCATCTCGGACTCCATCTCAGGGCCATCTCGGACTCCATCTCGGGTCCATCTCGGACTCCATCTCGGGTCACCTCGGACTCCACTTCGGACCCCAACTCGGGTCCATCTCGGACACTTTCATGTGTCATGTGTTGGTCCTTTTTGGGTCCCTTTTTGGAGCCTTGCTTATTGCTCGCTTCATGCTCGTTCCTCGAGCACCTCATTAGGAGTTCCACTCCCACTCTCGACCTTTTCAAGTCGGAGCTTTTTAGTCCAAACATGTTACGCTCGTTTGGTTTTCGCTTCGGCCACCACCACATGGCACCCTTCCGGCTCCACTTTGGGGCCTAGGGATTTTGTGTCTCACATCCATCTTCGACTCCATCTCGTGTCCATTTCAAACTCTATCTCGGGTTCATCTTGGACTCCATCTCAGGTCCATCTCAACACTTCCATGTGTTATGTGTTGATCCTTTTGTGTCCCTTTTCTAGAGATTCACTTATTGTTTGCTTCGTGCTTGTTCCTTGAGCACTTCGTTGAGAGTTCCACTCCCATTCTCAATTTTTCAAGTCGAAGTTTTTAGTCCAAACGTGTTACTCTTGTTTAGCTTCTACTTCGGCCATTACCACATGGCACCTTTTTGGCTCTACTTTTGGGGCTCTGGGTTTTGTGTCTCACACGATGGATAATGTTAATGTTGAAAACCTCCATCTCTTGTAAGGAAAGGTTGTTGAGAAGTTCATGAAAGATAAGTTGGTTGGGAAAGTTGAGCACTTTGGAGTTGGAGTAGGAATAGGGACTTGTGTTGGAGAAGGGGTAGGAGCCTTCTTCATCAAACAGAGGTATAAGCATTGTATAGCTTTGCTTTGGTGATCTTGTGACTGATTTGCATCATCCCCTTTTTCCAATATGTTTCAGCATCTACTTGGAGGTGTTAAGAGCATCCCAAAATCATAAAGTCCTTGAGGGAGGTTGAGTCAACTTGTTGAAAATCTACTACCACAAAATCCACCAATGATAAGATCCTATCAATTGAAATCATGGTGTGGTTCACAACTGTTTTGAGGATGACAACTGTGTTGTCTTAGATCTGGAGTCAAACAAACTTTGCTAATGACAAATATTGCTCCTAGACCTTGAGTCCAAAAGTGCTTTAGCTCTAACAACATTTTGCAAAGTGATTGATGCCATGAAAGCTCCTAGGTCCTATAATGCCATGGTATCCACAATATGAATCTCCTAGCGAGCATGAAGAAAAGACTAGCTTGATCATGCAAGAGTCTCCAACTGTTGTCCAAAGCCTGGAATTAGTCACAAAAGTTTGTTGAGTGAAACTTGGATTAAGTTGTCCTCCTCTTTATATCTCCTATTCCTAGCCAAATCTCTTAAAATTGAATTGAAAATCCTTATTGCATTTTGTCTCTAATTTTGTCAAATTAGGGAGTAATATTCCAGTTTTGCCCTAGGTTTGGACAGTTCAGTCATCAATCATACCAAATGGTGGCAAATTAAATATCCAAATTGACATAACTGATCAGTGTAGTGGTTCCAAAATGGGCGTAAGCCCAGGCAAGGCTTACTAGAGTTCACACGAGCTCAAAGCCCTCACCTTGCTCGAATCTTGATCGCCCCTGCTCGCCGGCCCCTTGGGTTTGCTCCTGAGATGATCTCCCTTTTATCGCCGCCCTGCTGCATCCCAAGAAGTCCCTCCTGATGCGCCGCCCGATCCCCTGTAACAAACCGATCTCCTCCCCGCCACGTCGGATCTCCCTGCCGATCTCTGTCCATGTCATCATCCACGTGTCCCGCCTGGCTCGTTATTGGCCGCTACATCGGACCAAGACAGGAAAAGATACTCTTCCATGACTTTTGTCAGTGTTGTGATACTCGGAATCTCATGTCCACGCCCATGGATCTGAGCTCCATGCTCAAGAGCTTACACGCATGTGGCATGTCTAGTGTGGCAATGCGTTGCTGCGGGTTGCAAAAGAGGCAGCGAGGGTGCTGCTTGCAGTTGAGGATAGCAAGCCTATGGCAGTTTGTGCAGACTGGGACTAGGGACCTGTCACTAACAAAGAAGAGCCTCTCCTTGACAGTGGCAGAGGCACCATGGGAGATGAGGCAGTCCCTCTCCATCTCGCCAAACTTGGTTCCCCCCTCCCGCTTCCTGTCCTTGACTGGCTGGTGAGTAAGCGGGTGTACGGGTCCACTGGCACCCCTCCACTTCATCTTGTCCTCGGACAAGTGATGCAGACGCTGGTAGAAAGTGAGGCCAACCGTGGCCATGGCCTCCATCATCCTGCCAGTGCGCCCGCTATAGACACGCTCTTGACCCCACTTGTTGTAACCGCACGTGGCCAAGTGCTGCGCAATCTCCTCTGCGCGTGGGTGAGCGAAGGGAGTGGCCTGCACTCGAGCACAAGAAGCCGCGACCGCCTTCCCCACCACGCTCTCGAGCATCTGAGCAAGTGTCTGTCGGCTGGGGAATGCATGCGGGTTGATCACCACGTCCGGCACGATCCCCTGCTGGGTGAAGAGGAGCTCCTCCTGCCTCAGCTTCATACCGACCACACCCTTCTGCCCGTGCATGCTGCTGAATTTGTCCCCGACTTGCGGACATCGGGCCTCTCGAAGCCTAACTCTGACGTGCCTCTCCCCTTCCTCGTCGCCGCCACTGCACACCACCTGGTCCACCCACCCCTGCTCCAGCTTCCGGAGCTTGCTGCTGTGGTCTACAAGCTTGGAAGCTTGCCTCCGCCCCGCCTTCCCTATAACCACGTCTGCCGCCTTCATCTCGGCACCAATGAAAGGCAGGCCATCACTGTCCAGCTTGTCAATGCCATCACTGTTGCTCCGCGCAACTTCCGTCTCCGGCCTACAAAAGCGTATGTCCGAGGAGCTATAGTCGAGGGTGGCCCTGTGGACACGGAAGTGAGTGGAGCGGAACAGGCCCCTGTCGAGCGACGACTGGTTGAGGATGAGCGAGTCCTCCTGGTTGTATCCACCATAGCAGGCAACCGCTACAACGCAGTTGACTCCGTTTGCGAGCTCGGGCCTGGCCAGGAGCTGCGCCAGGCGTGTGCACACCAGGGGCTGCTGCGGGTAGTAGAGCTGCCTCACGTTGGTATCCATTCTGGACAAGATGTCGCACGTGTAGAATCCAATGGCCTGCTTCCCGTGCTTCTGCGCTTGGTGTGTGACCCTGGCGCTCTGGTTGTGGTTGAGGAAAGGTATGGCGCTTGCGCTCACCCCCAGGAGGGACGCCGGATGCATCTCCACGTGAGTGAAACTGCTGCTACTCTCGGCCTCCCTGCGTGTCACCGCGATCACGGCATTGCTCTCCTCTTGAGCTCCCAAGAGCTCCACCAAGCCGGTGTCGAGCATGTAGTCGAATCTCTCGTGCGCAGGCCTGGCCCGCAGCTCGCGCCTGTGCTCCCGTGTCGACAAAAGCACCCGTTGCTTGTCAACCACCAGGAGGGGTCTCAGCAAGCGGCCACCATCGGTGAAAATCCGTATCTCCGCCCGGCTGGGAGCCCGAGCCAGCTCGGTCTGCAAGCTTGGTCAGGAAACAAGAGACAAGCAGGGGAAACAAGCACGCCAACCTCTGGATGGATTAACTTGTTGCGCCGTAGGTTCCGCATTGCCTGCAGCAGCGTGCCTGGCTTGTCCGTCGCTCCCACCCATTGCCCATTCACAAACACATTGTCCCACCCCACCAACGGCCCCTGGGAGCTTTGCATTTGGCAGTGGGAGAGCTGCTCCAAGACATTGTCGTGGCTCCTGGGAGCAGACACGGTGGCGAAGACTGCCATGGTCTTAGCGAGGTGGTCGTCAGGAGTTTCCACGGGACATATCCTGCCATAGTGGGACGCGTTCCTGCACGGGGCGCCACAGTGAGCGGAGCTAACGGAGGAGATAGACAATCAACGTACGGAAGTCTAGCAGCGTTGGCAACAAAGCGCGATGCGGAGCGTAGCTGCCGCAACTGAGAGAGGGTGTGCATGGGATTGTCCCGCTGCAGGGTGGCGACAACCCCACTTGTGCAAGAGGAATACCTGTTGAGGGACCAGATCCCCGTGGAAAAGGCCGCACGCAGCCCATTGGTGATGACAGACTTGTCCACGATGAGATTGTCCGTGAGGCAATCTAGTCCCCCAGCCTCCACATGCTTGAGCACCCTCTTGAGCGTCGTCTTTCTGAAGCGAGCGCTCAAGTGTCTCATCTGCTTGAACATGCAGTCCCCGGCCAAGTCCACCCTCTTGTTCTTCAAGCTGTGGATATCGTCCGCCGTGCTCCTCCCCACCACGCACAGGCACAGGCAACGCACCATGTAGCCCATCAGCAGAGCCTTGTCTGCCGGCCTGCTGCTGCTCGTGTTGCACAGCAAGCTGCCAAGCTTCTCTTGTGCAGGGCCTGCCAAGGGTGTGACCGACTTGATCCTGCTCCCCACAAGCTCCACAGCCACGCTTGTAACGTCCCTGCCGCCGCCGTGGACACCGCTGCTGTTAACAAACTCTTGCATCTGCTCCCTAGCATGCACGATGGACGGCCGCACCAGCTCCGTCAGCTCCACGTCTTGAGTGTCATGGACCATCACCTCCAGTAGCTGCCTGTCCGTCGACACTCCGAGGGCCGCCAATACGATCACCAGCGGAATGGTGTCCAGCCCTGGCGCGGACAGTAACAAGACGCCATCGCCGCGCTCCAGCTCCACCTTGACTTGCTCCAGCTCCACTCTCCAGTTATCCGAGCCGGTCTTGGGGCACAGGACGCGCAGCGCCTGTGGCCACACCAGCTCCTGAGCAAGCACTACCTGGTTGCTCTCTCACAGAGAGTTTTAGTGTTGGTGGCAGGGAGCTATACGACTCACCTTGTCGACACCCTTGACGATGAAGTAGCCTCCACAGTCGAAGGCATCGGCGTCGTGACCGTTGCAGAGCAGGGAGTTGACCATGATGGGTATGTCGCCAATGTGCACGGCTGGGAAGACGCGGTTGACGACGGGGTTGCGCTGCTCTCCTGCGACCGCGTCAACCTAGGAAGGTAGCGTGTGTGACTGTGCGTGCCACTCTTGTCACCATACCATACCCACCTGGAGCTCAACGTCCGCGCAGAGGCGCGCCGAGTACGTGATGCCCCTGAGGCGCGCCTCGCGTGGGAAGAGGGGGCGGCCTGTGGTGGCATCTGCGGGCTTGTGGAGGACTAGGTTGCGGATACGGATGGTGGTGAGCGCGGGCACGGGGTCGCGGCATGGCGGCATGGCTGCCATCCTCACCTCGCCCTTGATGTCGGTGAAGTGGGCGGGGGAGCCAAAGAGGAGGGCCAGCGAATGCGCACCTGCGCCGCAGAAGCGATTGAACGAGTCGAGCTGGTGCGCCACCAGTCCCCGCGCTTGGAACCAGGCATCACACGCCTCCTCCTCCATCCTCTTTATTTAGGTCAAGCGAATCCCCGGCTAGGTAATGCTGCTGATGCTAGCAGAGGCGGAGGCGCAGCAGGAGGAAGCGCAGCATGTTTCACGGCCGAAGGCATTCCTGGCCGCTCTACGACTATGTCCCCAAGTCCACACTCCAGCTGGTACGATCCATCCCCTCGTTTGTTTGCTTTAGCGGCCTTTGTTCCTCTTGTTTCAGCTGGAGAACGATCCAGGGGCTCCTCCCGCACACGCATGGAGGCGTAAGCTCAACTGTCACGCAAATTTTCTGACCGAGTTCCGGGTGACGTTCACCGAGGCACTCAAACTGGTAGTCTCTTGTTTGTCTTGGCCATCTCGTCATTGTCATTGTCATTGTGGCAGCTCGGGCTGGGGCTGAGGTTGTGGAAGTTCATACAAGCCGAGCGCTCTCAGGGAAGAGTAAGCATCCCCTTGCTCATCACCATTCCTTCTCACGTCTTGTGACACGTGACAGACACCTCCGATCGACCCGTTCAAGCGAGGAACCAAACCATCCGCTTGCCACGGCGTGCCACTTGGTGGAATGGGGTATGGCCCAGCAAGCAGCGCTTTTTTATTTCTTTTTCCTTTTTCTACTCTCAAACAGTGGTGGAAGCATTGGAAGGGGTTTTCGTGGCGAATTCAGGCGGTGGCAGCTGTTGCCTTCTGTCACCAGTGAAGCTGCAGTATTAGCAAATCAATTCTCAGTCGGTGCTGCCTGTTTCTTTTTTTCTTTTGATTACTGTCGTCACCACACTGACCGAGCATGGCAGGTTTTCGTCACTCGGGACAAGGACCATGGAGAAAAGAAAAAGATCGCATCTGTTCTTTCGCCTCGCCCCTCGGAGCTTGATGTCGGGTAAGCGTAAATGTTCTCTCTTTCGCTTGCTGGGAAACACATGGTGCACACAGGAAAAAGGCTCAAAGTCCAGAAATCTGTGCGTGGGACTGGAACCTTGACGGCCAAAATTCAACTTATCATGGCTTATTTCCGCGGGCGTGGACTATTTATGATGGTACGTAAGACCTTAGTCCTGATCAAATCATCTCTTTTCTGTGGTTTGTTGATCCGAAGGCGAGCCAGATCCGGATTTGAAGATCTCATGCCGCCAAGTCTCACCGTTTATTCCTCACGATTATCGAGAAAGCAGCTTGCCAGTCTGTGTTTTCTCTTACGTGGTACGTTTGTGTCCTCTCAAGGTCCGCTTCTGATTTGAACGCCCGTCGTAGATAGTAAACACGGGGAAGGAATCGGCGAGTGTTAGTCTGTTATTTACCTGGGCGGTAAGTCCACTTTGGAGTTTTCCCCAGTCACACTTACTTAGACGACGCATCTCAGAATTCCGTTGGGGGAGACACTCACCTATCCGGTGGACATTCTAACAAGCCTTTTCTGTGAGTGTCAGTTTCTTTTGTTACCAGGTCTGATCAAGTGATGTTATTCAGCGAGGACGATGGAGTTGCAGGTGTTGTCCTTCACCATCGGTAAGATGCTCTGCTAAATTTCCGCGAGATCATAATGTTGGATTTCAGCACCGCGAAAGGACAGCCAAGTGTGGAGTTTGCGATTGCGGCCCGGCAAAACGCCGATGTCGCTGTTTCTGTTTGTCCGAGCTTCTTGGTTTCGGGAAAAGGAAGCACCATGACGGCGAAGGAAATGTGGAACCAAATGAGAGAGGTGAATGCAAATTGTTGATTTATCTTTTCCTCATTTGGTGTTCAGAAAGGATGTTTTGATACGGATACTGTCTGTGAGCCTTCTCTTCCTTCTCTCGTAAATTCATCACTTGGAGCTGCTGTGTCTGCTTCAGTTACCATTGCACCGCATGGAAAGAAGGTTGTTGACTTCGCTCTGTCGTGGGATATACCAGAAGTCAAGTTCCCAAAGGGCAGATCATATCACAGGTAGGGGTAGGCGGCTATACCTGCTTGATAGTGAACCGTCTTGTGATGTTTGCAGGCGCTACACTCAATTTTATGGCTCTTATGGAGATGCTGCTCCAAGACTTGTCCACGATGCACTCTTGAGTACGCTGGCTTGCTCGCATGTAGATGAGCCTTGACTTTGATTTCAACAGACTATCCAAAGTGGGAGGCCGAAATTGAAAAGTGGCAGGAACCTGTGCTCAAGGACGCTAATCTTCCCGAATGGTATGGTTTTTGCTCCGTTTCAAGCGTGGCTAACCGTATTATGATGGCGGGTCCAGGTATAAATTCACGCTCTTCAACGAGCTTTACTATTTAGTCGCTGGCGGGACGGTGTGGACAGGTTGAGTATCACATCTCTGCGCTGGTTGGCGGGCTCTGAGTGAGTTTTGCAGATGGCAATCCCCCGTTGCAAGGGAACGCGGAGCTGGCAGTCCCGGACACAGCGTTTGTCACACCGTCATTTCGATCAAACGGTTTCACGTCTAGAACAAACAGCGAGAGCAGTATCACTGGTGCTGTGGAAGAGCTTGTGGAGATGATCCCCCTGAACGGAGGAACTAGCGGGAACGGTGGCGTCGATGCCATTCTGTCGGAGACGGAAGAGGAGATTGCGGAGAAGCTGGTGAAAGCGATGGAGGCTGCTATATTAGACAAGCAGATCAATTCGGCGCCCCGCGATTTCCCATATGGCACGTACTTGCTCGAGGACGGGGAGGAGAACGTTGGGCAGTTCCTCTACCTGGAGAGCGTAGAGTACGTCATGTGGTGCACGTACGATGTGCACTTCTATGCGTCCTTCGCTCTCATTAGCTTGTTTCCCAAGCTTGAGCTGAGCATCCAGCGAGATTATGCGGCCGCGACACTGTCTCACAACCCTGAGCTCGTCAAGTTCCTGGCTGGGGGCAAGTGGGGTATCAAGAAGGTGCTAGGGGCAGTGCCTCACGACCTGGGGATACACGACCCCTGGGTTGAGGTGAACGCGTACAACATCCACGACACGAGCCGGTGGAAGGACCTCAACTCCAAGTTCGTGCTGCAGATATACAGGGACGTAGTGGCGACGGAGGACCTCAACTTTGCGAGAGTGACATGGCCGGCCGTGTACACTGCAATGGCGTACATGGACAGATTCGACCGGGACAGGGACGGCATGATAGAGAACGATGGTTTCCCAGACCAGACGTACGATACGTGGACCGTGCATGGAATCAGCGCCTACTGTGGGGGCCTCTGGCTGGCGGCGTTGCAAGCAGCAGCGGCCATGGCGGAGAAAGTGAACGAGCCCAACGCGGCGAACTACTTCCTCAGAAAGTTTCGTGATGCCAGAAAAGTATACGACAAGAAGCTGTGGAACGGTTCCTACTTCAACTACGACAGCGGCAGCAGCAGTAACAGCAACTCCATCCAGGCCGACCAGATGGCTGGCCAGTGGTACGCCTGGGCGTCGGGCTTGCCCCCCTTGTTTGACGACTACAAGGCGCGGAGTGCCCTGCAGAGGATCTACGACTACAACGTGATGAAGGTTAAAGGTGGCAAGCTGGGTGCTGTAAACGGGATGCACCCAAACGGAAGGGTGGACGAGACCGCGATGCAGTCGCGAGAGATTTGGAGCGGTGTCACGTACGCGGCTGCTGCGGCCATGATACACGAGGGGATGTTGGAGCAGGCCTTCACGACCGCAGAGGGCATCTACAATGCTGGCTGGTCAGACAGCGGCTACGGGTAAAGCGCCTTGGCTCTCTCTCTCTCTCTCTCTCTCTCTCTCATCACGCCCCTCTCACCATGCTGCTTGCTGCCTTTCCAGCTACTGGTTCCAAACTCCGGAGGCCTGGACTACCGACGGCCACTTCCGGGCGCTCACCTACATGAGGCCGCTTGCCATATGGGCCATGCAATGGGCACTCTACCCGCCAAATTGTGTCGCCGCTGGGCCTCGCATCCCGTCCAAGGAAGAATCTGCCGGCGGTTCCACTTCCTCGTCCTACCTCTATGCAGGGTTTGCGAAGGTGTCGGAAGCGCTCACAAACGTTCCACCGCAGATTGAACAGATCCGCTCGCTCTTTCATCGCCTCTGCTGCTGCTGCTGCTAACCGGCACATAGGCGAAGCAATAAAACAAGTGAACCATTTGTATTGTGTAACAATATTATTTTACATGGGCAGAGCGTTGAAGCTCTCCAACCAGTCGATGATGTCCTTGGTCACCACGTCCCTGTCTGTCTCGACTTCAAACAACAAGTCGTGTAACAGCCCCTCGTACAGCTTGAGCGTCTTGCGCTTGGAGCGAGCATGCTCGTACAACCTCTGCGATCCCGCTGGATCGGTAACCTTGTCGTCCGTCCCATGCAGCACCAAGAAGGGAGTGCTCACGTTTTGCAAGTTCTTTTGCAAGAAAGCGGTGATTTTCAGAATCTCGGTACCCGTTCGAACCCGGATGGGTCCAGTGTACACTAAGGGGTCGGTGTACTTAGCAACCTGTTCAACGGGATCACGAGTGACGGGCAAGCGCCGCCTGTTTGCAGCCTGAAACTGGTACCTGGGAAGTACCATGGAAAAAAAGGGTGCGACAAGCTGTAAATCTAAACGCGTGAGACGCTGCACAAAAAGACTTCCTTTTTGCTGCCTACCTCTACGACCGGGTGAAACGATTGTACACGAAGTGCCGGAGATGTTAGTATTACCCCAGCCAGCAAGTCCCGCACACTCGGCCGCAGCGCTGCCTGCAAAGAAAGAGGTTGCTATTAACTTACCACTAACGATCGAACCTTTAGAGCGATGGCACCGCCAGTGGAGTGGCCAAAAAGAAAGACCGGAATGCCCGGCATCTCCGCAGAAACTCTATACAAGAGCTCCTCCTGGTAAACGTATGAGAAACAACACTAAAAGGAAGAGAAGAAACAAAAAGATACCGCGTCCAAAACCGCATAGTCCAGGGATTCGACGTAACCGTGAAGCCCGTCAGTGCCACCATGCCCTGCACGGCTGCAGGTTAGCGAAGTCACGGAGGTACATCCTTACCAATCCAGTCCATCCCGTACACGGAGTAGGCATGTGCGTTGAGTTGAGTGGCAAAGCGCTCGTAACGTCCACTAGACATATCACCGATCAACATGGAGACAACAAACAGCTAGAGTACCTGTGCTCGTTCAGCCCGTGGAGTAGAACGACTAATCCCCTGAAAGCCAGCGGTAAGTCACAAAGAAAAGAAGGTGATGGTGCAAGGCAAGAGCAAGGACGAACTTGATACGCTTACAGTCAGTGGGAGTCCATGACTGCGTGAAGATGGTCTGGCCCCTCGAGTTGGCAAACGACCGATCCTGCCAAACCGTACTGGCTTGCAAACTCTTGCGCCTCCTACGGGCTACAGCCCTCCGCCAAGATCCATCCTCCTCTTGCACGCGCAACGACAGGAGTCGCATCCACGACCAGGAGGAGACCTGCAGGGTGGTGGCGGCGGCGGTGGGGGTGCTGCTGCTGCCGCCGCTCCCGCTGCTGCCGCTGCCACTGCCGCTGTCACCAGCAGCTGTTGCTACCAATGCCACTCTGCTGGGCAGCTGCAGGAAACGGGCCATGAAGATGACCCAATACAAAACCTTTCGAACGATCCTGAAAGACGCACGCCAGTCCAGCACCACACCTCCCACTGGAGGAGCCATCCTTGCATACCCTTCCCTGCGCGCCCTAATACACCTTTTATTTAGTGCTGCCTAAAAGGTAAACGCACAAGGGGGCTTAGTTGCTATGGCGCCGCGTCGGCGCTACTTGGGCGTGTGCTCCTCCACCACCGGATCCGCCACTTGCGCAGGATGGGCAGCATCCCGCAGCATCGACCGCGACGCGCTGCTGCTCATCGCCAAAACCGACGGCGGCCACGGCCGCCTCGAGCTTGCCAAATACTCGTTTGACGAAAAGCTTCTCCAGGACGAGGTAAGCGGATGCAAAATTTGGCCCCGTTCTCACAGTTGCATCGCCAGGCCTGTGTCCTCCCCTGCCAAGCGGCCCCTCAGGCTCTGGCGTTTCATCCCTCTGGTGATGGAGCTCTTTGCTCATTTGCGGCGAGCTGCAGGCAAGAGGGACGTTTTGTCTTGAAAAAGTTTTTGTATCGGCCACCTTCAGGTTTGTACAGGTTGAACAAGGCAGCTTGAGCTGGTCGCCTGACATGGATCCGCAACGGTTCCATGGTTTTGGGGAGCAGAACAAGATTTGTTTCAGCGCAGATGGGTCTCGCGTCGCATTTGGAGGCAAGGTAATTGTCTGCCTTTGTCCACAATTCTGTTGAGTGGTAGCGCTGTGCACAGGATGGCCGGCTGCGTGTTTTGGACTGGCCCGGCCTTACCACTCTGATTGACGAGCCCAAGGCACACAAGAGCATCAAAGACTTGGACTTCAGGTAATATTCCGCGAGTTGACGCGCCACACAAGACGCGTATGCTTGCAGCCTGGATGGAGCGCTGCTGGCTTCAACGTCGGAGGATGGCCCGTGCCGCATATGGGACCTTGACAAGGCCATGCCGTTGACATCGCTACACCGGGAAAAGGTGAGCGCTGGTTCAAAGGCGAGCTTCCTCATACACAATACTGTGGGTTTTGCATTTCCCAGGCCGAAAGCTTTGGATTCTGTAGATTTTCACGAAATGGATCTCATCCGTTTCTTTTTGTGGCTGCTTTCAGAGGTTTTGCTTATCCTCTTCCGCCGAGACTTTCTGTCGCTGACACTGTGTTGCAGATGGGAAGGGGTACGTTGCAGTCTGGGAGATTGCCAAGTGGAGCAGGCTGGGATCCAAGAAGTTTTTAGACTGTGAGATATCAGCCCTGGCTACCTCGTGCGATGGGAAGCGCTTAGCACTGTAAGCAAGAGCAAGGGTGTGATGTGTTTACGTAGAATGTTGTGAGCTGTGTGCAGTGGTGGCATGGATGGAGCTGTTTCCGTGATAGAGGTGAAGAGCATGCAGAAGCGGCAGTATGTCGAGAGAGCTGACACATGTGGTATTACGTTGTTAGAGATGTCTCCAAACTCAAGGTTTTTGTCCACCCGCTGGAAGAAATATGCTGGTTAACTGGTGCCCACGTACGCAGAGCTTTGCTATCGGTGTCAGCGGATGGAAACGTGCGAGTAACCGCAACCAACGTTCCGGGCCCATGGAAAGGCAAGCACATTGTTGATCCTGATTCCTCACTTTTGACGGTTGTTTGGTTGCATGCTTGCTTGCGCTTCAGATTGGCAGGTATATTTACTTCTGGCGGGGCTGATTGCCATGTCTGCGGCGCTCTTTTACATCTTTTTTGAGTTGTCCGATTCATTCTGGAGATTCCCGCTCGGAAGAAACCAGCCGGCACGGCCATCCATGAGAGCAATCTATGGGAGCAGCGTGGACACTTCCATGGCCGAGGGATGATTCGTCCGTCAAGTGCTTGTCTTTGTGGTGACACCACAACGTAAATAATGCGTAGAAGCGCAAGCTCTTTGTGGTGACACCACAACCTAGATAATACGTAGAAGCGCAAGTTGCAAGGGCGTCACGAGGGCAGGCAGCGCAGTGCGTCACGACTCACGAGACGTGAAAGCAGGCACACACGTTGGGCATTGGCGGGAGCGGATTGAAGCGGAAGAAGCAAGCACGTGATCAACTAGAATGCAGAGGCACAAGGTGGTGCCTGGCAATCGCCCAATGCAGTGGATTCGTGTAAAAGGCTCCGGGAACACGTGCCGTGCTTCTCAGCCAGGAAGCGAAAAGATTCACGGCCCGCACCCGCAGCGGTATATAAGAGGGGCCAGCCTCCAAAGTGGGAGTGGGGGTGATCGATGGCAAAGATGGTGGCCTCTAGTCCCAAGCAGCGATCCAATGGCTTCATCTATCGGGTGGTGTCGGACTCTGTCATCGCAACCGCGGCTGCTGTAGCCGCTGCGGATGCTAACAAGAGAGCGGTGGCGACCAACGTTACCAAGTGTGAGTGCTGTGGACTGGGAGAAGAATGCACCGCCGGCTACGTGAAGCGGGTACAGCAGCAGTTTTGCGGCCATTTCATGTGTGGCTTGTGTGCCGAGGCTGTCAAGGAGGAGCAGGCAAGGATCAAGGGTGGTGGTGGTGGCAAAGCAGTGGAGGACGCAATCCAGGTGCACATGAACATATGCAAGCAGTTCAACGTTACGGTGCGGGAGAACCCGGTGGCCGCTGCAACGAGCGCCATGAGGCAGCTGCTGGTGCGCCGTGCAAGGTCGGGACTGCAACTGTCGAGGAGCACCAGCTGCATACCCGCGCTGGCGGCAACAACCAAGGCGAGCAAGGCGGAGCATCGGGGAGAATATTCCTGGCTCCCCAGCTCTCCCTGACTAGGGTAGCACGCCTGGAGCATGGAGGTGATGCAGTCGAGCTTAGATATGTGCGTAGCGTCCTTGTCCCTCGTCTTGGCCATGCTCGTCTTCACTCTCATCGCCTGCCTCTTTGGCGCTATCAATTTCGTCAACAGCCTCATGTAGGAGGTAGGCGTCCAGTGAAATTCGGGACTCGGGATGGGCTGGGCTCAATCAAGAGAATAACTTGGGGAGATCCGAGATCTGGATTGGAATGCTCTCTCTCATATCTGTCTGAATTAAATAAAAGGGGTGGCGTTTTCCTTCCCCTTGTGTAAATGAATGCAGCGGAAGGATATTCCCATATCTCGTGAGATGTATTTAGCAAGCGCGGATTTGGTTGGGGAGCACAGCCAGCGAAACCGATCGGCGCGGCCTCCCTGTGTACAGCAAGAGGAGGTAGGCTTTTTGCATGGATGGTTGCAGGAGCGCAGCAGCAGCTGGTGGCAGCGACACCAACTCCGACAGCTTGTGCTCCTTGGAACAAGTCAAGACGTGGAGCGCGGAGACGACAAGGAAAAAGAGCATGAGCATTCCAGGTGGGGAGAGTTGCTTCAACGAGAATCCCCTCTTCTACAAGGAGGGGGAGGGGGAGGGGGAGGATGAGGCGCGCAGGCGGCCTCGTCGACGTGCGGGGTTGCAGGCGCTGCGGGCACCCTTGGGGGTCATCACCAGCCTCATGTCGTGCTGGCAGCAGCAGCAGCAGCAGCAGCAGCCGCGGGACAGGAGGCGGGCGGCTGCGCTGGTGGAGCTAAGCAAGAGGCAGCAGGCGGCGCTGGCGGACAAGCAGGATACCATCGACATGCTCGAGTGGCAGCTGGAGCAAATGCAGGTGATGTCCAGCAGGGAGCGGGAGCAGCTCCACGAGATGGAATGTCGCTCCTCGGCAGCCTCGTCCACGAGCTGTAGCAGTGTGTCGACGGTGACGACCGCGGGTGAGGGGCCGGCGGAGTTGTCGGCGACGGTGCTCCTGTTTGAGATGGCGGTGGTACGGTCCCGCTTGTCCATGCGCTACTTTTGCAACGTGTTTATCAAGCAGATGGAGGTATCGGGGTATCCGGTGTGCCGCACCCTGGCGGACATGGAAGCGTCGAGCGGATTCCTGAGGAAGGAGCACACGGCGTTCGTACTCGACTCACGCATCAACAAGGCTTTCTTCCACTGCTTCGAGAACGACAACTTTGACGAGAGCGGGGTGACGAGCATCTTGGACACGGGCACCCGGTGCGCGGCGCGGCTGGGCGAGTACAAGCGGATGAAGCTGGTCAACGTGGCGGACGCGGTCAACAGCAGCAGCCGCTGCTTCGAGCCCGACTTTCTGCGCTTCTGCCAGGCCAAGACCAAAGAGATGTGGGGGCTCTTCCACATGAGAATGCTGTTCAAGAGCGTCGAGGAGCGGGAGGCGTTCACGGCCGCGTTTCTGGACGTTGCCAAAGGCGTGTGGCTGCTACACAGGTTGGCCTTCTCCATGAACCCGCCCGTCGCCATCCTTCGGGTCGGCAAAGGCTGTGAACTCAACCCGCTCTACGTGGAGCCCGTGGCTGTCCCCGACGACCCCTGCCGCCGCTGCTCCTCGCCGCTCAAGGTGGAGTTCATGATCATGCCGGGCTTCCGCGCGCACCACAAGATCATCAAGTGCCAGGTCTACCCCCACATTCACTGCAGCTCGTAAAGCCCCTCCCCCTCCACTCACCAGCTTGCAAGACTGACTTACACATAGCCAAAGTCGTGTTCATCATCATTCAATCAATCCCAACGTGCTTGTTTATGGCGATGCCGCGGCAGCAGCACTGGCAGCAGCAGCCGGCTTCTTGAAATCGATCTTGTCCACTTTAACCTCTCCGTCGAGCAGCTCGTACACGTACACCACAACTCTGGAGCCATCAATGTCCATGAGCACGAAGCTGGGGCTGACATCGTAGCTGATGCTGCTGTATGCTCCGGTGGCGGAGCCTGGATTGATTATAACACCACCTTCGTGCTTGTACGCCTTGAACTGGTGCGTGTGCCCGGTGATGAGGATGTCAACGTCGAGCTGCCTCTGGAGCATTGCCAGGGAATCCAAGTCGCCCCAGGGGATCACCTGAAGAGCACAAGAGCACAGGAGATGGATGGAGATCAGGGGCGATGAGTGAATTATACCTGGTGGCCGTGGCACAGGCCGATCTTGAAGCTTCCGATGCTCAGCTGCTTCGTCTCTGGGTAGCGACTGTCCTCGTCGTATTCCCCTCGCACGATGTGCACGTCCGGAGACAGGCTCTTGAGGTAGTCGTGGATTTCCTAGGCTTAGCAAGCTTTAGCGCGCGCACCAAAACCCTGTTTCCTTGCCTACCTTGATACAAAGGTTGCCAGGGCTGAGGATGTGCTGAATCTTGCCGGGCACCAGCATCGACTTGAACTTGGGTGGCAGATCTGGCGCCCGGTGCGGAATGTGGAGATCCCCGAGCGCCAGCACCAGCACCATCGCCTCTCACAGCCCTAACTAGGGTTTAAGCTATGGAGTGATCTCGCCATGGGTTGCGGCGAGCATGGCGCGAAGGGAACGCAGCTGGCTGCCGTCGATCAGGCTCCTCTTGTGTGGCCTCACACTTGTGGTGGTAGCCTCGCTCTCCATTCTGGCCACACGCTTTCTTGATCTGGATCACGACCCCCGGCAGCTGCGATGGACCCAAGAGGAGCAGCGCGCGCCACCACTCACTCCAGCCCAAGATCTCAGCGACGTGCCCCCGGTAAGCAGAGGTCACTTGCATTCCTTTGTTTCACGGCTCCTCTCCAGAGCAGCACCAGCGATAACATTTGGAGTTCCAAGCTCGCAGACTACTACTACGGTTGCAACAAGCCCAGTAGCAACTATTCGGGCCCGCCCTACGCCACCAATGGCTTCTTGCTCATCCAAGCAAGCGGAGGGCTCAACCAGCAGCGAATTGGTGTAAGTCGTGCATCCCAGAGCACCTCTCACTCGTCGGATGCTTGCAGATAACGGATGCTGTTGTTGTGGCGAGAATTCTAAACGCGACGCTTGTAGTTCCGAGCTTGGACCACACCTCCTTTTGGAAGGACAACAGGTTCGATCACTTAACTTGCCTGCATTCACAAGACAGACAAGCTTCCCGTGTGCAGCAACTTTAGCGACATATTTGATATCGACTGGTTCATCGCCACCCTTGCGCAGGACGTGAGGATCGTCAAGGAGTTGCCAACGCGTCTCAAGAACCCCATATCTCTGCGAGTCCCCCGTAAGAGCACCCCTCACTACTACCAGAAATCGGTGCTCCCTACGCTAGTCAGGAAGAACGTAAGAGAGATGTCCTGGGAAACGGATCCGTCCTAATGCGATCTACACGGGCAAGTGCAGGCAGTGCGCCTTACCAAGTTCGACTACAGGCTTGCCAACAATCTCTCCACGGACCTGCAGAAGCTGCGGTGCCGGGTTAACTACGATGCGCTGCAGTTTACAGGTCCAATCGAGGGCATGGGCCGCACGCTGGTGCAGAGGATGAAATCTATGAGCGGCGGCCGGTTTATTGCTCTACACCTGAGGTGGGCATGGGCTGGTTTGTGTGCTTGTTTCACGACGCGCTAACTGCCTGTAGGTACGAGCCTGATATGTTGGCGTTTTCAGGGTGCTACTATGGCGGGGGCGACAGAGAGGTCCGGGAGCTGGCAAGCATCCGGAAGCGGTGGAAAAACTTACGTGTAGGTGGACACCTTGTGTGCTTGGTAGCCGACGCCAACGGCTTGTGCTTTGTGGGTGGTTCTTCAGGTCCGAAGTCCCGAAAGGGAGCGGAGGAACGGCAAGTGTCCGCTCACACCCATGGAAGTAGGCCTGATGCTGCGGGCGCTAGGCTTCAGCAACGAGACGTACCTCTACGTTGCATCGGGTGACATCTACGGAGGGGAATCGACACTGGCCCCCCTGCGGGCCCTGTTCCCCCACTTTTTCACCAAGGAGAGCCTGGCCAGTGACAAGGAGATGGAACAATTCTCCAGATACTCGTCGCGAATGGCAGCCATTGACTACATCGTGTGCAATCAGAGTGACGTGTTTGTGACCAACAACAACGGCAACATGGCACGCATTCTAGCTGGCCACAGGTGAGCTTGTCACACGCGAGAACTAACGTGATTCCGTGCTGTCTTGCGCACAGGCGCTATGCCGGCCACAAGAGAACTATTCGTCCCAATGCAAAGAAGCTGGGCTCGTTCTTTGGTCTGAGGCAGGAGATGGGGTGGGAGCAGTTCGCAGCCAAGCTCCGGAGCTTGCAGAAGGGGTTCATGGGGGATCCCATGGAGAGGTCGTCGAGGCGGGACATATTTGAGAACCCCCGGGTGTGCATCTGCGACAAGACGCACGAGGTTGAGGAGAGGGGCGAGTGGATGGGCGACGAGGAAGACGAGCTGTTTAATATCGACGAGGTGCTGCTGGAACACGAACCAGACGAGTAGAGAGAGGCGCGCGCCGGCTTTTATATATACACGCAGCGCAGTATATATACTGGCTAGCCACCGTGTACATGTAGCTAAACAGCCAACAAACACACCTAGCCTTACCGTGTAAGCAACCTGACTGACCACCTCCACCGCCGCGCAGGCAATGTGATTTTGTTTTGTGGTAGCTAGCTACGTTGCCCTGAATCAAATGTACAAGCAAAAAGAGCGTGCGAGCCCTGCAAGTATAAAATAAATAGTCGACTTGTGACAACGAATCGTAACACCTAAGAGGAAAGTCTACTTCTGAGCTCCTTGCGAAGGATCTTGCCGGATGGATTCTTGGGGATGGAATCGACGAAGTAGACGGAATGTATCTTCTTGTAGAACACAACCTGACAGAGAGTGCGGTGAGTACACGGGACGGGGGATGCGCTCGCTCGCTTGCCCAAGCCAACTCACCTGCTTGGAGACGAAGCCCTTGATGTCGTCCTCTGAGATGTGAGAGTCGGCCGCCCGCACGACAAACGCAACCGGCACTTCGCCCGTTAGATCGTCTTTTTTGCTGCCAAGGTGACGTGCACGCGTTAGAGAGCATTGCAGCAAGCAAAGACAAAGACACGGGAGAGGCTTACGCAACGACTGCAGCGTCGGCAATGGATGGGTTGGAGATGAGAAGCGCTTCCAGTTCCGCGGGAGCCACCTGAAGGTAAAATAATGCGCGTGAGAGGGAAAGCGACCCAAGATTACCTGGAAGCCCTTGTACTTGATAATCTCCTTGACCCGGTCCACAATGAACACCTCGTCGTCATCGTCGATGAGAGCCACGTCACCAGTGTGCAACCAGCCGTCCTTGTCCACGGTGGAGCGCGTGGATTCGGGATCGCCGAGGTAGCCTGAGTATTTCATTTACGTGAATTTTAGGTTTCCGGGATGGCAAATGGATTGATTAAGTACCTTTCATGACCTGGGGGCCCCTGATGCACATCTCCCCCGGCTGGTTGCGCGGCAGCGACGCGCCGGTCTCCGGGTCCACAATCTTGGCGTCGGCATTGCGCACGATTGTGCCGCAGGAGCCGGGCTTGACGGTGAAGGGGTGCTTTGCAAATGCCAGGCACAGCGCCACGACTGGGCCGGCCTCGGTCATCCCGTAGCCCTGCCCGATGGTGGCCCGCGGCAGACGCGCCCTGAATGCGTCCTCGATCTCCTTGCCCAGCGGGGCGGCGCCCGACTGCACCATCCGGATGCTGCTGAGGTCGTAGGCCAGCACGGCGGGGTTCTTGGCCAGCGCCAGCACAATGGGGGGCACGATGGGCGCGATGGAGATGGAGTAGCGCGTCACCAGCTCCAGGAGCTGCGTGAGGTCGAACTTGGGCATGATGACGATGGTGGAGGCGGTGCGCAGCGAGCAGAGGAGGATGGAGTTGAGCGAGTAGATGTGGAACATGGGGAGGACGCAGAGGACGGCGTCGCTGGGCGTCATGTAGAGGTTGGGGTTGTCACCGTCCACCTGCTGGGCGATGCTGGAGACGAGGCTCTTGTGCGTGAGCATGACGCCCTTGGGCAGGCCGGTGGTGCCCGACGAGAATGGCAGCGCCACCACGTCGTCGGGCTGGATGTCCACGGCGGGGCACTCGCCCTCGTCCGCCTGCGTCAACGCCGATATGTGGAGGCAGCCCTCCACCTCCCTGTCGATGCTCATCACCTCTGCAATGCCCGACACCTTGTCCACATACGTGGACAGCGTCACAATGAGCTTGGTGCCCGACGCCTTGGCCTGCTTTGCAATCTCGGGCGGGGTGTAGAAGGGATTGGCGGTGGTGGCGACGCAGCCCCTCACCGCACAGCCCAGGAACACGAGCACGAACTCGATGCTGTTGGGAAGCAGGAGCATTACCACCTCGCCCCTGCCAATTCCCAGCTTGGCCAGCCCAGCGCCGACCCTGCGGATGGCCACGCCCAGCTGCGCGTAGCTCATCTGCGTGCCCGTCGGCCCATCGATGAGCGCCGCCTTGCCGCCCAGCTCTGGATCTGCCGCTGCACGCTCCAGGCAGTACGTGGCCAGAGGAACGTGATTGGGGATCTGAATATCGGGGAGCTTGGACCTGAATATGTACTCCGCAGCCACATGCTGATCCGTCGCCATGGCAACAGCTCCTGGATGCAAATCTGACAATCCAAACCCGGGGGGGGCCAAGGAATGAGCGAGAGCAACAAGCTCCCTGCTCAACTCTCCGGAATCGCTCTCGTTTCTAAGCACACGCAAAGCACGCAGCCGACTGGATTTGTGGAACCACCACGACGCCACCCACGAGAATCTCGGCCTCCTCCCTGGGAATTGATTTTTACCCGGCTCCTCTCAAAACTATAGTTTTACGAAGATGCCCCTGGCTCTGCTAATTAACACTCTGTTTCTCTCTCTCTCTCTCTCTCTCTCTCTCTATCGAGAAGCCATCTGCCCGTCTGGGTGGCGAGAATTGGTCCACGCTGCGCTGCTTTCCTTTTTTCTTTGCTCTCTCCGTCCCCGATCTCGATCTCTCTCCTTCTCTCTCTCAGTCGCCTCCGCCGCGCCAAAAGGGAGAACTGGGTGGAATGCTCCGCCAGGGAAGCATTGAGGAGAAGAATCGTGGCAGTCTTTATAAAGATACAGGAAAAGAAAGAAGCATACTTACTGGTCGCTGCGACCACCTACCCAGTTCACTCCCAACGCCACCAGCAGCAGCAGCAGCAACAGCAGCACACGTTTGACTTGGAGTTGGCCCACGTGGCCCACGTTGGACCGGTCACTGGTGTGGCCATCGCTCGGTCAACCCCTTGGTTCAATGCTAAATGCGCACACCTTTAGTATGCCTCCAGTACAAACACTCAAATTCGATTCAGATTCGCTGCGGATCTTCCCGCGCTTTGTCTGCCCTATTAGGGCACGGCCATGGCGCTCTTCGCCGGGGACAAGCTCTACCTCTCGCGCAATCTGCTGCCACCGGATGTCATCGACAGCCTGCACGACATCCTGCGGCAGCACGGTGCCCAGGTCAACATCTGCTGCGATCCATCCGCGCACTCGTCGCTTGATTTCCACGTCCTCTTCGCGCCCGACTCGGTATTTCTCTCTCGCTCTCTCTTTGCCCTAGCTGCCTTAGCTCTCGTGCAGGACAAAGCCCGCTCGTTGCAAGACAAAGGGTGCCAGATCCTTGGTAAGCTACTTAGTTTTTCGGCCTAGTGCTACTCACTCCATGCGCAGGCCCTCAATGTGTTTTCCAGTGCGCCAAAATGAGCAAGCCACTTCCCAGGCGACCTTGTACTTGCTGCCTCGCGTTGGAGGGCATCCGTGTCCACGCAACCGGCTTTGATGATTCAAAGCTCAAGGTAGCCATCCCTCGTGCCTGCCTGAGACGATAGCAATCTTTACATTCCTTGACAGTCCAAGATCGAGTGGCTTGTGACGTCCATGTGCGGAACTTTGGATGCCAGCGTCTCTTCGTCCACCGACTTTGTAATTGCTAAAGGTGTCTCCAGTCCAGCGTATCAGGTTCTTTTCTCATTCATACATGTATCCCACCCAGCTCCTGGGCAACTTACATGGCAGGTAGCATGCCAACAAAAGAAGCCTGTTGTTGGTTTGAGCTGGCTGGAACTGTGCTCTCGGGAACACCAGCTTGTCCCTCATCGACCTCACAAGCTCTCTCCCCTGTCTGGTCTCAACATTTGTGCGACACAGGTACCCGTTGGTACGTGTTGCTGCTATCTATTGTACATGGCTAATTTGAGTTATTGCGACCGTTGTGATAGACGTGCGGGTGCGGATAGCTGAAGCTGCAAACCAGAACGGGGCATCCTACTCCCCTAACCTGACCAAGGAATGCACACATCTCATAGCTACCATATCCATTGCTGGTTTTTATCGTTCATCAAAGAAAACTCCTTGACATGAAACACTCGCCCGACGGGGAAAAGTTTTTGGCTTCAAAAACGTGGGGGACGATCAAGGTTGTTAACCAGGATTGGCTATGGCAGAGTTTAGCCTCACAAGGTATTGATGATGACAAAAGGATGATGCGCTAACAGCATTTCCGTAAGCAGTTTGTCTCGACGAGGACTTGTTCCCAGTTACAGTGCAAGCGAGAAATGACACTAGCGTGGTCGATGACATGCCGGAAAGCATCAGTTATCAGGTTGTGGCCAATCAGTGTCATTCAGGTGGTTTACAGGTTGTCCAGCCTCTGCAAGGAAGCGGCCGGACAGAAGCTGATTCGTACCTTGCAAACTGTCGCTTCTACATAGTAGGCTTTCAGCCGGATGACATGAAGCGTCTTGTAGATATTGTTTTGGATGGTGGAGCCACAAGGTACATAGAGCTGAATAAGACAGTTACTCATATTGTTCTGGGAAGTGTATCCGACAGGTAAGCCTCCCTTTTTTTTTCCTCTCTCTATTATGTTTTACATCCTATTTGTGAAACCAGTGAGGTTAAGAGCGTTCAACGGGCTACTGCAGGAGGTGCAATACAAGTTGTCACCTCAGCCTGGCTTGAGGAGTGTGCACAAACTCGGCAAGAAATTGGTGTTGCTAATACACACGTTCCATCTCAAATGCTGCCAGGTACTAAACCTTTCTCTGCATCTCATAACCTTTTTTGCTTTCGGCAGGGAGCCTTAGTTCCGATGTGCTTCCTCAGAAACCTCACCGTGTGCAGTCCCTCGACATATCTCCCGCAACTGCAGTCGTCCTAGAAACTGTTTCTGCTGCAAATTCTGATATGAAGGAACAGAAGGAGAAAGGCGTATTTTCCGGTGTCACTTTCGCATTCTTAGAAAAGACCAGTTGTTACGAGGTATTGATCTTTTCTTCTTATGAGGCCCGACATTGTTCTTCCAAACAGGTGATCAAAAAGGAAATTGTTGAAGGTATTAAAGCGGCTGGAGGGGCTTTTGAAGATGCATGCAGCAAAGCTGATTACTTGATCGGTTTCCACGGTTCTCCATCACCAAAGCTCAACGTCTCCATCGTGTCCATACATTGGCTACAACAGTGTCTTCTGGTGAGAGTTGTTTTCTGTGATTTATTTTGTACCAATGGTTATAGTTTAGGAGGGGAAGCTGCTTGACACTAAGGGCCACGTTTTGTACCGTCCCTTACCCTGCAGAATACCGCTACCTGGTTTTGAGAGCTTCAGACTATGCATTTCTCAATACGATGATAAAGATCGGACATTATGCCGTCACCTTTGCGGTCTTCTGGGCGCAAAATTCAACAACACCTTGACGAAGAAGGTAACGCATCTTTTGTGTAAAGCGGGGGATGGAGACAAATTTCAAGCTGCAGTTCTACTTGGTATTCCGGCTGTCACAATCGAGTGGCTTTACGCTTGTGTTGGCCAGGTATTTGCACGTGAGTAAACTGTAATGCTTACTAACCTCTGCTACAGAACGCAGTGGTTTCTCTTGAAGACTACTCAGTGCAAGCTCCTCCTTCAGGTCGCTCTTGCATAGAAGTGGTGACACAGAAAAGTCGCTCCGAAGGAATTTGCTCAGGTAGAGCTTTACATTAGAAAAACCAAATTGACCTTTTTGTCTCACGCCAGGGAAGAGGAAGTCATCTAACAGCAGGAGCTCTGATACTTGTAAACGGCCAGCTGCGTGTGATGAAGGTGGTTTTGACGCCTGGGAAGTGCTGACCGCTAGCTGGTCAACGACTGGTGCGGAAAGTAATCGTCCAGACATAGCAAAACACACACAGGCTACACTTGGTGGCCACGCCAAAGACTTATCTCAGTTGGGGGTCGAGATTGAGGACAGTATGCCGTCTCAACCAGATGTCGCGGCTGCCATTGAAAATCTTTTGGCTCAAACAGGCAAGGTAGATTTCATGTCATTAAACTGTTCCGCGCAATTTCATTCCGCGTGTTCTCAGGCTAAATGGGAAGGAAATCTATCAGGAGAAGAGGAGAACGAGTACGACGTATCCTTTTGTTTGAAATGTTTATGCGCTGCAAACCTTGACGGTTGTCAGCTCCTTTCTGAAGCTGCTGTCAGGGATAAAGGAAGCCTTCCGTCTGAGAACGCAAAGGCGGGAAGGTAAGCTTGGTGGCGTCGTCCTGGTGGCTGTAGTCATATTTTTTAGCAGGGTCCTTGAGCATGAAGGCGATTCAAATGCATTAAGTAATGGTGGCGACAGTGGGCATGAGGAGTTTCAGATTGAGTCACAGGTACTTTCTTCTGTGCTTCTGGTACTTCTCGGTTGACCTTTTTCATCTCTCTAGATTGTTGCGTACGATGAAGATCACTCCGGAAAGCAGATGATCATGGAGAGGGTACGAGCGGGATCAACCACAAACATCAGCTGTAGAAAGACAAAAAGTTCGAAAAGTTTTGCATTGGGTCGGCTCTTTCAAGCTGCAGAGGCCAACAAGTAGCTGCCACGCAACAGGTATTCTGTGTTTTTATAGAAGTTTACCAATGTTCTTTCACATAGGTGGAAACGCAGTCCATTTCCATGTCAGCTTAGACATGTTTACACTCCTGGCCAGTTCATTTTCTGGAATCTTTCATGTCACTTGTCATGACGAAATCGACGTCTGCATTAAGGGTGATACGATCAGAACGCTCGGCAACACGAAAGTACACTCACAGTCAGAGTTGCTGTTGATCCAATATTCCGGGTCGGAGGCGCTGAGCGATTTCCGAAAGGATCGTTTCTGAGGTGAAACTTGGACTGATTCTGAGGCAGCAGTAGGGTGGGAGGGGCTGAGAAATCTGTTTGGCGCTTGAGCTGGATTAGGAACCTGGGCTGAGACTGGCAACTTGTGGTTGCTAGTGCCGGTGCTGGTGCGACAAGATGAAAAGCAGGCCCGCTTTTGCAGCCTGGCGAGCATCTGTGGAAGATAAGTGTGGAAGCACCGAAGAGCACCAAAACATTGTGTTACCTTTTGGAAGCTAACACATTTTATCCGCGGCCGACTGGAGCTTCTTTTGTGGGAGTGGCACTGTGGCCATGTCCACTTGAGAGGCGATCGGATGACAGAAAAGAGGCACTTCACTCGCCGGAGTTTGATGCTGTTGGTGCAGTTGGCAGTGTCAGCAGCGGCAGGACTAGGAACGGCAAGCTGAGATCGGCGTTGCGCTTGCGCTGCAACCATGCCTCGTCTCTGCGTCGGGAATACTTTGCCGCTCATGATCAGGCGGCCTTGGGTGAGTTGTTCGCCTGCTCTTGGATTTCCTGGGTTAGAGAGCTCCTGCTCTGGAGCATCTCCACAGGCACAGCAGCTACTACTGCTGCTGCTACTGGAAGAGCTTTTGGATGTGGTGCTGGTGGTGGAGCTGGTGCTGCCGCTTGGGACTGGTGCTGCTAACACCCTCGGCTTGCTGCTGCTTGTGTCGGCTGCAGCAAACATTGAGCTCTGTTGGAATGGAAACAAAAGTAGGCCCTCACCTCGGTTGGAATGTTTGGGCTCAAGGAACTTGCGGTGCAACCACCTGAAGATCTGATACCACGCCACTTGGTGTCATGCCAAGACCAAAACCAAGGAGAGATTAGTTTACCATGTTGAAGCAGCACGGTACATGAAAGCGCGCTGTGAGTTTGCACTCTTCCGCGCTTCACTCGCCTCACTCGCTCTGCCCGCCTTGCCGAGCTTATAATATGCCTTGTCATGGGAATTGTTTGTTTACTGGATTCGGTGGTCAAGGTGGTAGGGAGAATCGGGAACAGCACACATGGTTTAAATCGCATGCTTTCACGTGTGCTGTTTGTTTTAACTAATACCGCCGGAAATCGTTTACTTATTTCCAGAGAGAGACCAAGTAGGGCACAGCATTTTAGGGCGCGTCCTCCTCGAGAGCAGCTATGTCCGACAAGCTCGCCCCCGACAAGCGCCACAAGTTCGTCCACAATGGTATGCCCGCCTCCCTCCACTGCCGGGCACTTAGCTCTAACTATGTGCAGGGCAGACCATCTACGAGTGGGATCAGACGCTGGACGAGGTGAATATCTACATCGATTTGCCCAAGCAAATTCCCAAGAAGCTCTTCTCCTGCAATATCCAGCTGCAACATGTGGAAGTCGGCATCAAAGGGAATCCGCCATACCTCAATGTAAGCCAAGTTTGTCTTGTATGCGCTGCCTGACCATGCTATGCCGCTTTCCAGCACAATCTAGGGGGCCCTGTCAAGCTGGATGGCTCGTTCTGGACAATAGGTACGCCCGCCTCCATTGAGAGCGCGGTCCATTCTCACTCTTTTTTCCTCAGAGGACGAGACTCTGCACATTAATCTCCAGAAACGAGACAAGGGCCAGCCGTGGCAAACCGCGATTGAGGGACATGGACAATTGGATCCTTACTCGGCAGATTTGGAGAAGCGTCGACTAATGCTCGAACGCTTCCAGGAAGAGGTACAAGTCAAGGGCCTTCTCTTTCCTTTTCTCTCTCTTATCGTTTCCATCGTGTGTGTAGCACCCAGGATTTGATTTCTCGCAAGCAGAATTCAGTGGCCAGTGTCCTAACCCGAAAACATTCATGGGTGGTATGAAACACTAGCACTAGGTGGCTCCTTTCTAACGAAACCAGAGCATATATACATATACATATGTACATTCTCTAGCGCTCTTACGTCCTCTAGTCTGGGTTTTAGTCTGAAAGCGAGCAGAGCATGGCGACTCCTCGACGTATCCAATGATCGGCCGGCTCCTTGCTGGGCATCTTGAGATACATCAAGAAGTTGGTGGAGTGGCCAGTCGTGGCAAGAACACCTCGCCTCTCCATTGTCCGGTACACCGGACAGTTGTAGTGATTGAAGTCCCGCATGTCCGACTGGAGCACGGGCTTGAGCCAGATGATTGGCGCGGGCACGAAGATCACCTTGGGCTGCGACTCACACAGGCACTTGTTGACGGGATCCCAGGCGCAGCCCTCGAGGTAGAGGCCCTTGATGTACACTCCCTCCCGCGGTGCCTGCGTTGGCTCGCCATCCACCACGAAGTAGTCGAAGCCCAGGGTGTCGATGGCGTAGCGATGCTTGCGGGCGTAGTTTTGCATGGCCGCCGTGAGGAAGGACTGCGCGAAGAAGAAGCCGCTCACCCAGTGGACTGCGGGGACGCCATGGTCGTACCAGTCTTGCAAGTAGTGCAGCCTCTCCATGAGATCGGTGATGTAGGAAGAGAGTGGCTTGAGGGATGGGTACGACACCTTCTGCCACAGCGCGGGTACCTGGCCCACAAAGAGAGTTCGGGAACATTTCGTCAAAGTGACAAGATAAAAGCACCTGGTTGATCATCATGCTCTTATAGGCCGTTTCAAGCTCGGCAGACATAACCACAACTCCGCGAATCGCTTTCTCCATGTTGATGAGCGATCCCCGAATCCTGTAAAGGAGAGCTGTAGCAAAAAGAAGAAACACAACATTGCCAAACCAACCTGTCGAGGAGCTTGTTAAACCGAGTCATCTCCTGGCTCAGCACCGTGTTCATGCTTTCCTCGTAAAGAACCGGGTACTTCCTCTCGCAAGCCTCGATATCAAAGTTGGGAGAAAGAATCCTGAGTATCTCCCTCACCACCACCGCTACTCCCCCCTCGCCACCACCCCCGCCACCCCCGCCGCCCCCGCCACCTGCGCTCACCATAGCGGCCGAGGTTGCGAGCAAGGAGCTGAGGATTAAAGCCGTGGCGTTCATGTCCTTGGTTATGTCGGCATTGGTATGCAAGCCAAAGACCTCGGGCCCCGGGATAATTGGGAATGTGTCGATGGTTTTGGCGTAGGATTCCCAGTTCCCAGGCTCAGGTGTCTGGTAGATGCCAGACTCAGAGAGCTTGTACCCGGGCTGCGGCATTTCAGGACAGTAAACTGTGCGGAGGATGGTGTTTAGAAGCAGCCTATCCTTGTCATCTGCACAGAGGAGAGATTTTCTTGAGCACAAGAGTCGACAAAAGGCTGTACAATCCAGACCTGTAACTCGTCCTCCATAGTTGCATTCTCCAGTCACGTATCTCAGTGCCTCCAATGGAAGTTGACCAGGAGTGCTCTCATTGATGAACATATGTAGCTGGCGAACGCTGTAGAAGTCACAAGTTTCGAGTTCAGTCGCTAAAACAGTGTCAAGCTTTACCTTATTCTCAGATCTCCGTCATCAAACCCGTATGGAATGTTCCACCCCAAAGGTCCAAAGTTACGCCTCTCTTGCACAACGGCATGGAAGAAAGCGAGACCGAACAGGAGGCCTTTGAAAACCTCGGGTTGGTTGGAGCTCTCAAAGAACTCCTCGTTTGATATTGGATCCAGGCCGTATGATCTTCGCATGTTGGCTCTGAGGCCTTTCGGGGGCTCATTCGTCATCTTCACCCCGTTCTGGATCGATCATGCGATTAAAGAGATCAGGCACACATTTGAAAGGAGCACCAAACCTGCAAAACTGTTATAGGGAACTTGGGACTTGGATAGGAAGTCATCCAGAGCCGGAAGTCCTGATGAACTTCAGCAGGAACGTTCTCGCAAATCCTCTCGAGCTCGGGCATCCAGGACGGAGCAAGGTGACAGTTCTGGAGGAGGACCCATGAACCTGCTTGAAAGTCCGCCGCGTTAGAGTTAATATTGTCTTATAGTTTTGAGAACCTGTTGCCATGGCATCGGTGATCATCGTCGCGGCCTTTGGTCCTTGGCCTTGCCCAAGAGAAATGGGAGCAAGCCTGTCTCCCATTTCCATGTCGCCTGCAATAACAAAAGCTGCAGAGATCAAGTTCAGGGTGATGGACGGACAGTACCTGCAAACTTGAGGAGAGCAGCGGTGGGATCACTCCCCGGCGACAAGACGAAGATGAGGGGGCACGTTGCACTCGAGTCCTTGTAGCAGGAGGCAAGGTTGAACTGCGGCGGCTGGACGAATTCCTCCCCCAGCTTCTCAGTCACAAAGCGTTGTATACCCGGAATAACTTTGTCTGGTCGAATGCAGCGAAGAACGAGCAGCTTCTGGAATGAGGTGACGTCGTTGTATTTTCCTGGAATTCTCTCCATGTGTGGCTCCGGTGATGAGAACATGGCCTTCCACGCGGCCGTGTTGGCTATCACATGGTCACTGAGGTCGGCAAATGCGGGAAACTTGGACACCCTGCAAAGTTCACCCCATGCTTTGTCCAGCAACCATTCCGGAGCAGGATTTGGACGATCGGGCGACGATGCCACCCCTCCTGTGAGGAAAAACATCCACTCTGGGACCGAAATCTCACCTTTCATCTCAAGGATCCTTGAAGCTAAAAGGCACGAGAATAACAGCTTGTCCTTCTCAAACAGGGATCTGCACACGTTGTTGTAGAGCACGTATAGAAAGAAGTCTTGAATAATCTCCAAGCGTTTAATCAGGTCCGGGTTCTTCTCGCTTGAAGCGATGGATATGACGAAAAGCGATGAAAACCATGGTAGACTGTACTGGTACATGGGGTCGATGTTTGCAAGGTCCGTGATGCAGAAAAACAGTATGGCAGCATACTCTCCACAAGACTGGTAACCCTTTCGAGCTTCGTCAATATTTTTCTCCGTTTGCTCAGCCAGGGTCTGCGAGACACGATATAAGTTGACAGCCACGAGCTGGACAGCGCTAACCTGTTTGACGGTGATATCATTACCGACGACTTTGGCCTCTGAGATAATCTTCACAGCAGTCTCATCTTCCAGAATGTTGCCTTCACTGCTAGACAGCACTTCCAAGATCTTGTCTTCTAGCTCTTTCAGCCTCCTCTTGTTCTCCGCGCCCTGAGAAATACACAAGAGGCTGGGGTTGAACGATGGTGACTTAGACAATTATTCACCTGAACCACAAGCTCGTTCTTTTGCTGCTCCAAATCGGGCCTCTCTTTGGCGACAACCACACCTAGGAGTTGGTCTGACAAACCATCTTTGGTGATCATGAAATTCAGGAGGGTCACTTTGACAGCCGTTTCGGGCAAGTAATGCGGGTTGCGGTACTTTGTAGTTATGTAGAATCTAAAGTCGTTGTTGTACTCAATGACCGTGTCTCCCAGCTTTATGCACATCATGCCTCCTGATTTGAAAATCTGCACGACAGATGTTGCTCCTCAGAGAAGAGGTTTCCAAAGGCTGTCTCTTACCTGCCGCAGCAGTAAAGGTTCCAGGGATGGATCCAACTCCTCGCCAACGTTTTCCAGGAGCACTGGCAATCCAAACTGGATGGCATTTTCGAGGATCCGCATGTAGTCACCACCACCAAGCAGCTTGATTATCTGCAGGTTTCGTTCCCTCTCCATATTTCTGATCCACTTGTTGGCTTGTCCCTGGCAAACAAAACCATCAAGTACGCAGACAAAATGGCCAACCACAGCAGATACCTGCGGATCGATCATAAGCGGCCACCGCCTAGAATTCGCAACTATGATGCCGTTTTCTATTGAAAACGAATCGTTTGGCAGCCCTGCTATCATCCATTCGCGAACATGCACTGGATTACCCAGTATATCAAAGAAGGAGAAGGATGTCGAACGCGGAATGTTTTCACTGCGAACAAGCTTTGTCCACAGGTCGACAATTTCAATCCGGTACCTGCGTCACACACACAGGGATGACTCTGCATGGGAAAAGAAACACAAAACCGAAGGCATACCCGGCAGTGAAGGCACCGAGATAGGCAATTATCCCTGAAGCCACTAGAACATCGCCTGTGAGATTCACGTACTCGATTCCTAGCTGCTTCGCCGCAGCAATCCACCGTGTTTTCTCCCCTCCAAGTCCTCCGATGAGCTGTTCAGCTCTCTCTAGCTTGACAGTACACATTTTCACTTCATGCTGCAGAAATGAAAAGACAAAATGTAGAGGTGAAAGTGTGTATGGAAATCAAGATTTTACCTGAAGGTTTTCTTTCTTCAGCATGTTCGCATCAAGCTCTTCTTCGAGTTGACCCAACTTATCTAGTAAACCTTTAAGCTCTGTTTGCTTAGCCCTTAACCCCACCATCACCACTTCGTATTTACCCTCCGCTTCTCTAAGTTTTGCTTTCTTTGGTGCCACAAACTTAGCCACTGTATCATATTTGTCCATTGCAATGATCCATTTGCAAAGTCCCTCAGCGGCAGCTGACGCATTAGCAGCTTTAGCAGGTGTAAACTCTGGATTGCTCGTATACTGACTTCGGATCTTTGCAATAATCTTGGCCTCGATATTGTCTTTGTCATAATCTTTCAGATTTTGAAGAAAGTCTTTGTTGTTCAGCAAAACGACTGATGGTTTCCAGTAATCCATCAGCGTCCCACCCTTCCCGTCCGGAATCTTTGCAGGCTTGACGTCTAGAATCACACAAACAGCTTCCATCACCAGCTTCACTGCAGCCGGCGGATTTGAAAGCTTCTTCACGTAATTGATGTCGTTGGCTGATAGCGTGTCCAGTGCCGCTAAAGCTTCTTCCAGCACAGGCATTGCGACGGCCAACACTGCCTCGCACTCGTCCTTAATTCCTTTAGCTTCAGCTGCCTGCTTGCTGGCTTCTGCCTCATCCTTCATCACGATTGCCTTCTTTGGTTCGACCACTTCTTTCTTTTCTCTCTCGACTTTTGCCATAAGTTTTTCCACTTCTTCTACCTAAGGTAAGGCGGGAGTCATCATTAAGTAGAGGATGCAACACACAGCGCGCAATACTTACTGTAACTATCAGCTTCGGCATGAGATCTTGAAGCTCTTGTTGCATGACCGCGACCTGCTCTGCACTAGATTGGAGCTTCTCGAGTCCTACTTCGTACCTTCTCTTCTGTTTTAGTTTTTCCTCTTGTTTGGTTTGTAGTAGCGTCTGCGGTTCACATTCATCAGACAAATGTGGATATTACCGCGCAAACCACGCACCTGAAATGTCGAGATAAGTTCAAGGTAGGACGTAGGAGTCACATAGTTATGCCGGCCCTGCTTAAGCTTGTATTGAAGAGAGTACTCGCGCACATTCTCATGGAATGCCTGGAACATATCCAGTATTAAAACATATCTTTAGACGAAAAGAAATACCTTGCAAATCTTTACAATGCTTGCCCTTGCTTTATCCTCCAGCGGCATGTCCTTAAGAAACTTATAGGCTACAGCCTCAAGAGCATCCACGGGCCATTCCTATTCAAGGATGAGCATAAGTAACTCCCAACAATATCTAGCAGTCCTTACCTGAAACCAGTCGATAGTGCAGCAGTTCACCAACGAAGGAAACTGCCTTAATCGATCCCTAAATGCTTGTCCCACGGGACTCATGCAGAAGATGACATGGAGCTTTTGCCTGCACTGCTCGACAAAGTATCTCCATTGCTCCATTGGCGAGTCGAGTTCTTTCCCCAACTTGGCCGCCTTTTCCTTTGTCGCTTCAAGTACCTGGGCTTTTTCATCGCTGGGAAACATGTTCGGGACCTGCATGCAAGCAGAACGTCTTGCGTCAGAGTCCACTTGCTGATTCAGTCAAGGACACCTCTCCGGAATTCAGAAGATTATTCAAGTCTTCAACAAATCCCTCATCTGTAATTTGGGTATCACTGAAGAGAAAAACGCTTGGCAGGCCAGGAGCTGCTCCTGCCTTCTTCAGAAAGCTTATCAAGTCTTCTCGCCATTCGACTTTTGTATAGCTTTTACTAATTTCCACCTGGTACAAGAGCTAGTTAGAAAGTTGTCATTTCGAAACGCTGCTTACCTGAAAGACCTCCATAGCAGACACAGAAGCACCGAGCCTTGTCAAGCTTTGCCTGCCGCTACCACCAACACCAACCAGCAGCATGTGACCCCCAGGTTGCCTTAAAACTCTACATATCCTGGAGACATGTTCCACGGCAAACAAGAAAATTGCGAGGTTCATTGGGCGTTTGCTGACGCCATTGTAATCCGTGAGATAGTTTTCCATCAAACTTATGATCTCGGGCACGTCTGTTATCTCCTCGTATACTCTTGACTCAACGTCTTCGTTCATATAGACTCCAAAAAAGCACCTGCGTGTGTTTTTATTATAGATCATACGCTTTAGCAAACACAGATACATTACCTTCGCATCTCGTTTTGTCCAATTTCAAGCTCGTTTTCGCCAAGAAGATGACCAAAGAGCTCGTCGAATTGTTGTTTAAACCGAGTCTGTACGAGCTCTTTTAAGTACTTGAGTAGCCAGTCTCGGTCTTGATCATCAACCAGGCGATCATAAAAAACACGTAAGACCTCGTGTACCCACAACCGTACGTGCTGCCTTGCACCTTCTCGGCCAACCGGGACTTTTGAGGAATCTTGCAACATCATTCCCTGTCATATGTACGAGTCAGGATAATGTTTTCTTAAAATCGATTTAAACACCTGTATGACTTTGGCATAATCTCGGAGGTTGAACGTGTAGTGGGATTTCGTCGGCGTTGGCAGTAACTGTGCTTTCGACTCGTTGAAGACATCCATCGTAGCGTTGATCACCGCAGGTTGCAGGTAGATGACATCTTTAGGAAACTCGTTGTTTATAGTGAGATGCCAATTGAGAATAGTGTTGAATATAAGACGCAAGGAGTCCTCCGCCACCTGCAGAAACTCATGATCACTCAATGTTAGACACACGCAAACAGGTACCTGAGCGACGCCGACGACATTGAAATGACGCAAAAACCTTTGAGTAACAAAGTTTCTTCCTCCCCCCGGTGGACCCATGCCGGCAACAAACAACACGTCCACAATCTTTTTGAACACATTGTCACGCCCATACCATCCGTCATGGTCCATATACTGCCTCAAGAGCTCAATAGGCGGTTGTGCACCATAGACTTCGGGCTGCAGAGTTACAGAGACTCAGTAAAGGCACGCCAAACACACTGCGCTGCTCACCTGTGGCATGTTGAGGTCGTCCACAAAGATAATGCACCGCTTTCCAAGAACAGGGCCGTAAATGCCTCTCTTTCTTCTGTCGAGTTGGCCATCGATCTGATTTTGTGTCATGTTTGCTGAGGTACGAGCCGAGAAACAGACGAAGATGGTTGTAAAGAACTCTTTCGGCAGGCCCAGAGAGAGGTGGCGATTGATGTAAACGGACTTTCCCGTTCCAGTTGAGCCGACCAGTAGCACAGGATAATTGGCCTGTATACCTTTGTCCAACAGGAACGTATATCTCACCATGTCCTTCGTTGGGATGATGATTTCGCTGAAGATGGCGCCTTGGGGAATCTCCAACGGGACAATGGTAGCAGTCCAGAGGAGCCAGGCCGCATTTTCTTTGTCGAATAGAAAGTCATAGACCGTAGCACCATCGTCATCGGGCATGATCTTCGTAAAGAGATCAACGTGTGTTGATGGCACCCACAGCTCGTATCCTTCAGGAACTTCACCGGCAGCCAGATGCCTCAGAAAAGCATCAAATCCTTGGCGTGCCTCGTTATCACCGGTGGCACCAATAGACCACACCAGGGAGAAGAGAAATATCGAGTCCACCCATATTCCAAGCTTCTCCTTGCCAAATGCCTTGCCCGCTTCTTCAGGTTTGAGCTCGTCAATAAGCCCGTAGAAGTTTCTCATCAAGCTGACCACGATATTTGCGTCGGATGTAGGCGATAGCTCTTTGACGCTCTTCCGGACGAATCTCAAGCAAGCCGTCACCATCCATTCGAAGAGGCCTTGCAGATGAGTCCTTAGAGGACCTTGAAGCGATGCAGGGAGAGTGTCCAGCCATGACAGCATCAGAGGTTGCCATCCCATTTGATGGGGTTCAAGATAAACCATTCCACATCTGCTTACAGTTGCCGGAGACGCGACTGCGAGGTCGCCAACCTGCAGCGAGCTTGAAGAAACAAAACTTGTTACGTTCCATCTGAAAGCCTAGAAAGCTTGCGACTTACCTCAAATATCATGTTCATAGACGACGACATTTGGATAATCTCGCTGTTTGGAAGGCACAGCTTTTTGTTGTCGTCCAGCACAGTGTTCATGTTCTCGATCCAAATAGCATCCACTGGACCGTCAAGGACGAGCCACTTTCGGTCGTTTGAAGGATCTGACGCCTGCTCCCGGAAGCGCACTGCCAACACTCCGTCCAGCCATTCCTGAGTCATGGGATCTGCTTGACCGTAAAGCTGTCCCATGGTGACGGACTTGGGATTCACCGTCGCAATCTTCCAGATGATAGAGAAATGTTACCGAGAGAGAATCTTAACAAGCAGGTTAGTACCTGAACTCTCCTCTCGTTATCAAGTCCCTGCTCTGCCAGATCTGTTAGAGCGGCCTGGAGCACTCGCAAAGCGCAAGTCTTCCCCGAGAACGACAAACCGACGAGCATGAGTCCGTGACGAACAATGATCATTTCATAGAGCTGGATGATCTTGATTTTGAAATACGGTGTTGGTTGGAGATTAAACTTTTTGCAGTTATCTCTAATGACTTTGTCCAGGTTCGTGTAGTCGGGCTCTGGTAGCACTACCCCTGGAAACAAATCCGAGACAATACCGTTGAACAACGGAACGTCCTGGGAAAGGAATTTGCACAAGTTCACGTCGATGATAGATCGGAGCATCAGTATAAACTCTTCTTCATCAGGGTAACGTTGCTTCAGGTTCGAAGCAGCGCGAAGCACCGCCATCACTGCTCTCATACCGTAGTCATAATGGTCCTGACTCGACAACTGCTCGCTGCAAAGTCGATACGTCGCGACAATTTTTCTGGCACAATCCCTTGCCTGGAAAAAGAAATAAGTTGTGCTTTTAGTGTCTAGTAAATGGCCCTTACTAGCAAATAGCCGCTACTGTAGAGCATAATCTCGCTTATCATAGCGTAATCAGGAACCATCATCGCCACCGTCCGGAAAAGGGCCTTGAGATTATCCGGCAGCTCGCTTCTACCAGCATATCCAGGATTCATTGTGATGAACACATTACAGGTAGGCTTCAGAGTAAGCTCAGTTCCCTCGAATACAAAAGTTTTCACTTTGTTCTGCACGGCAAGTTGAACTTCGAGAACCTGCATGTGGGAACTTAGTCGCGAATAGAAAAACGTCGTGCAGACCAACCTGTTGCGCGACGACGGACAAGACTTCCAAATCAATACGATTGAACTCGTCAAAACAAGCCCATGCACCGGCAGCAGCAAGACCTTTGAAAAACTTAGCCATGGCCAGGTAGTCCAAACTGTCACTGCAATTGAACACCACGCATTGCCTTGCAAGTGCCTGGAAAATGTTGCATATGTCAAAAACCGGATTTAACACGAGAATGAAACCTTCAAACCTTTGCCAAATCCTTTGTTGTCTCTGTCTTTCCGGTTCCTGCAGGACCTTCTGGAGCCCCACCCATATTCAGATGTATCGCGCCCATTAAAGTCCGGTAGCACCGGTCGGTTAGAGGAGTGATAACTAGCCGGCTGGAGTTTCCCAGATACTCGTAGCCATACTCCACACCAGCGTTCATCATCCGCACGAAGCAAGTGTCCTTTTCCCAGTATATCCTCAGCTGGCTTTGCCACAAAAAGTCCGTCTCCTTCTCGACCTTTGCGTTGGCTAGAATGGTGACGACATCTCGAGCATGAACGTCCATCACCACGAGCGCGCTGAGCGTTGCACGGTTGAGCCTTGTTAAATTTCCTCTGACCAGGTTAACGATTCGACCAAGCTGCTCTGTGCAAGCCTTTTCACATTCTCTCACAGCATTGCCTCCTGCTAGAATGCTCTCGGTAACCATTGTTGTCCAATAGATGGCACTAACCACAAGAACTATCTGTCCGGGCCACTCAAGAACCCATTTTTCCCTTACCGTTTCCGCGTATGCGATAACTGAGCTTGAGCATTGTTCCTGAAGGGACTGTAGCATTCCTTCCTCGACCTGAGTTCCCCAAAAAGGAGGGGTAAGGAATTTGACAAATAAGAAACACGGAATCGCCTTACCTGTAACAACCATTTCTCTACGGCCCCTTGCGCAGCCTTAGGATTGAACTTTTCGACAAGAGGAACTACTTCACCCTCTGCAGAAATCATTCCCGTGACATCCATATTGTGCTCAAATCGAAGTGTGTCAATCCCTTCGAAACACTTTTTAAGATGTGGTTGCACTCGAAGTGGATCCTTAGTCTCGGAGAGAATCTCAAGCATTTCGTCGTTTGAAAGAAAGAAGAAGCGGGGGAATGCCACCCGTTTTACCTGTAGACTTTACGTTAAAGCGCTCATGCACGTCAACAAAGAGAGAGAGAGACAGAACCTCGAGATATGACGCCAGTCCCTTATTGATAATCTCGAGCAGCCTGTTTGCTTCTTTCAGTTTCTCCAATCGTTCCACATCAACTGCAGTTTCAATGCAGCCTGGAGTGGCAACCGTTCTCTTCATAACATCTCGCCAGGTTGCATCTACCGTCTGAAATTTTTCTCCTTCTTCGGGCATCTGCCTCATGATATCCTTGGACCCAAAGATAGGCCCAAGATACTGCCAAGTTGCTTGACACTCTACCCAGTTATCAAGAAGGTCCTGTTATGAACACAGTAAGATCTCATCAAATAAAAGAGTAGGAGGATTACCTGCATGTTAATCATAAGCGTCTTCCACCTTACAGCCCTGCCTTCAAAAATCTTAATGAACGGAGAAGCACACATGGACATAATCTTCACGAGTTGATCATCCAGAATAGTTTGTATGTCATCAAGTCCTCCAAGGATAAAAGTTCCAGAGTCCTTGTATGGAAGAACAATAAACTCGACACCTTCCCAATCTTTTTCCATCTTGTCCAATGTTCTCTGGAACGAAAACTCTTTGCTTGCAACCCCTCCAATGACACGAACCTACAGGACCAAGGTTTAAACGCTGTTGTCACACAACCTTTTACCTCTTCGATTTTATCCATGATTTTGTAGTCAAGCATGTCGTTTATCGAGAAAACAAGTCCGTCCTTGTACTCCTGCCCAACTTGTTTGAAGATTTGAGTCCAATGGCGATCTTTCAAAGCGGGATTTGCCAGCTCCTCTATCAAGGGTAGCAACTACAGCAGGAAGACATACACATGTTAGACGAGCACCGTAAAAGTTTGTAAGGAGTCACCTGCTTAAAATCGTCAATCGCATCCTTCAGCCTGAAAACCACCGTATCCTCTTTGTTTGCTTTTCCCATCTTGTATGCCTCTTTCGCGTATTCATCTGTTTTTCCCTGGACTTCTGGTGCTTTTAAGCTTGCCACCGGACCCTCCCGCCATTGCTTAACCATCACTAGCCAGTCGCGGAGGGCCTTCCACACTCCATATCTCAAGTTGTATTCTTTCTCCGTCATGAGGAAGTTGCTCATGTCTTCCATGTCCATCTGAAACATTTATAACAGTAGATTAGCGGCCGTTGCCACCAATAACACCTCACCTGGAAGAGCTTCTGATAATCTTTATAAATCTCCAGTGTATCACGTATTTCCACCATTCTGTCCCATATTTGTTCCATCTCCGTCACAATCTCAAATGGATCGGACTCTGATCTCAAAAACCTCTCCTGGTGAAGCATGCCTAAAATCGCAACCAGCTCCTCGTTGAGTGAATTTGCCTTTGAATCAAGGTCGGCCATCATGTCCGTCCTATTTTCTTCAATATAGATGGTGGCTGCCTCGATCGAGTCACCATACTTCTGGACTATCTCGTGTAGATCGTCTAGCTTGATCTGGTCATCTGTTGGGACTTTGACTTCATAACCCGCCAAAAGAGAGTACATTTCGTCAACAATGGTTGCTTCAGCAAGCGATGCTTTTTTCTTTTCCATTGTTGCATCGAACACCTGTAAAGACAAGCATATCAGATCGCTTCTTTTTCACTTCCTAATCAGCTGACATACATACCCTGATAAAAGCCACAAAACCATCCAGCTCGTCGGGCCGAACTTCAAGGGCTTTCACTTTCTCCTGAAAATGAGCTAAGACTTTAATAGTCTCTTCCCTTGCTGCAATAAGCAGGAGACCCTTGATGGCGTCCAGCGTTCGTGTGGTCACGGGTAAAAGCGAGTTTCTCAGAGACTTAGAGTCTATATGAAGTACTCCAATCACACTACATTCAAGGAGTATGAGTCAGTATCTAAGGATCCAGCATTCTCAACGTCCCAACTCACCATCCGATACGCATTCGCTCCAGCTCAATTCTCCACTCCCTCTGTTGAGCCAATTCGTCTCTAAATTGACGAACTGTCCGTTTCTCCGATGCATAAGCCTCTGGATCCCAGCATTGCCCAAACAGATGCAGATCTCGATACTCCTCGAACATCTGAAGACAAGACGAAGACGGCTCAGTTGGAGCAAACAGAAAATGCCGCAATCAACTTACTTGTGCGTACCTTCTAGCCTCTTGGAAGTCGTTTTTAACGACCTGGTCTATTCTACTCCGCAGCGAACAGAACCGTTTAGTCTCTCTGATAAGGCCGACAGGATTCAGTCCCTGGTACTTGACTTCAAAAAAGGACGAAAAGACTCTCATGTACAATATCCGAGGTGCTTGTTGAACGATCTGAATTACGCCCTCAATGACAGTGTTGAGGACCTGCACCAATAACGGAAACATGTCAGGCATTGAATGACGAGATGGAAACCACTTACGCTTAAAATGTTTGCCTCGTCGGGGTTGAAGGTCATCATGGACTCCGCGAACGACACAGTGCTCAGGAACACTCCCTTGGATGCCTTCTCCGTGTTGGTTGCTCTCGTTGCTTCTAAAAGAGCCAGCAATTCGTCAGTTGTGTTGATAGTACGAGCAATGAGGCCTTCAACTAGCATGTAATCAATGAGACGGATAAAGTTGCCAAGAAGTTTCTCTTCAGCTATAACACGACGATATGTCTTAGCCCTCTCAATCTTTTCGTGTTTGATGCTCACCATGCTCTGAGCTTTATTGGCACGGGATTGATGCAAATTAACCCCCACTACATCATCTAGCTCGGCCTCGTCCCGAACACTTTCCTGCGTTAAAGATAACAAACAAAACAGTAGAGTGATACAAGATCGACCTTTCAAGCTGGCTTACCCGAAATATTTGTGCCTGCTTCTTAACCTCTTGGCAAAGCTTGCCAAGTACCTGCTGAATCCTTTCTGAGATGTTCTCCACAGACGGCATCGACTTGTGGATCCTCTGTTGAAACTGGAGATCGAGAAACTCTTCTACGGTATGCAGGTGGTTTGGAATAAGGTGCAGCATAGCCAACCCGGTGAGCTCGTAAACGTATCCGTAAATCTGCACCATAGCCGCCAGGAAGCCAGGCTTGGCCACAAATATCCTGGACATGAGGGAGTTTCTTATCCGCGCGAAGTTGCTCTGGCCGATGTGCTTGCGCCAGATCGTGAAAGACTTGTAGATCAGATACTTTCCGAAGAACTTAATCCTGCAGAGTGACGAGAAAATAGACTTCTCGCGAAGCCATTCCTCGTGAGCAATAAACGTGCACTCTTTCTGACCACCTGCATCCATTGCGGACACACACACACACAAACAAACGTAAGCATGGTCATTTTCCCCAAACCATGTCATTTCTTCTCACCTTGTGTTTGTGGAATCGTCAAACCTGGCGTGATCTCGATGTGGATCATCCCGTACGTGGAGATGGTAAAATACTCGGCCTTGCCAACCTTGTTCCGCGGAACAACATCCAGGTCGTATGGCCGGAAAACCTTGCCAGACTCGACACGGTTGCAGTAGAGGAACTTAGCCGGCTTGGACTCCTCCCGCTCCGCAAAGAACTTGATAGCCTCGTCCCCGTTGGTGATGTGCGCAAGCTCTGGATCGCCGGCCGTGGAGGCATCATCGGAGAGGCCGGCCTGGACGAGGATCTTCTGCGCCTCAACCTCAGTGTGCGGCAACTTTCTCGAGCCGGAGCTCTGTCCCGTCAAGACACGCTTGGTCCCAACTTTCCCCTTGACGAGCACCTCGTTCCACGCCCCCCGGTCCGGGAGCTCCCCCTGAACGGAAGCGCCATCCTGGACGATACATTTCTGCGGGACGATCTCTTTGACACCCTTGGGAGCAAAGCCGTGCTCTTGGAACATGATGGCACCCCCGGCATTGTCTTCCCTGGCTCGGGGCCGCTTGATGGGCAGCCGATACGCAGCCTCGAGCTCGTCAACCTGTGGCAATTGATACAAACCCCCGGGCTCCTGCTTGACAACCGAGTCCTCTGGACGCCACACCCCATACCTCCCCAGCCAGGTGCTCCGCTCGCCCCCTTGCTCCTCCTCCTCCTCGCTCACCACAAGCTTGTTCTTGCCTTTGTGGACCGGCGGAGGTGTGGCGTCGGGCGTCCGCGGCGACAGCATCTGAGCCGCCTTGGATTTGGACGACTGCCATCCGCCCGCCGCGCGATTCGCCTTCTGCACCGCCTCCATGAGATCCTCCATGCGCTCCGCCGTCGCCGACGAGATGCGGTGCTTCCGCGCATTCTTAGCTGCGTCGCCGCCGCCCGACGCCATGGGCGCTCGCTCCTTCCCCTCTGGAACTTGGCGCCCCTCCCCTAACCCTCAACCACCTTTAGTTTCCTCTAGGGGAAATAAAATGCATGGTTTTAAGCCAACAACAATGGCAGCTTGGGAGATGAAAATTATAAAAACATTCCTCTACCTAGGCAGTTTGTTGTCTTGCTGCGAGCAATACAATATTCGTTTGATATAACAGATGATTATTCTATTCGCAATACAATAGCTGCCAGATGATGGTTAGCATGCCGTTGGTTGGTTGCTCTCATACCTGGATAGGCGATAAGAAATGTATTATGTAACCCAGCTCTTCCTTCTTTTTCTTTGCTTTTCCTGATAAAGCTGGGCGCACTCTAGTACAGTGTAGCAGCCTGTCCCCAACCGGACATGTAGACACGGGATCTGCATCCGTGCTTGAAGCAATTCTGTGCTTGCATCTCTCCACTCCACCTCTCCCTAGTAGAATCTAAGGAGGAAGTGGGATATGCCGCGCACGGAGATGAAGGCGAGGGATGGCCAAGAAGCACGCAGGTCATGGTGGAGTATGCTGGCCAGAGCAACGAGCAGCGGGAGAAAGGCAAGGGAGAAGAAGAGCGGGGCGGAGCCAAGATTGGCTGCTGCTCATTCGGACGCGTCCATCAAGGAGCGCGTCCTGGCCAAGCTCGCGGAGCCTCTCCCCGGTGAGCTGAAGCAGGCAGCCCGGCATTCCGTGGACGCTCCAGGGGTCGCCAGCTACAGAGAGGATCTCTTGTTGAGCAGCACCTCATCCAGACACTCCACCTCCTCCTCCACATCCTACTGGACTAGCAGTCTCGACGCTGCGGACGATCACGCAGCTCCACTCCAGGCAAGTGGTCATTTCCACAGGGCGCGATCCGGATCCACGAGCGCCATCCATAGCTCATGCAGCTCGCCCACGTCCAATGTCATTGCCCGGCTCATGGGGCTCGGGACTTCCTATTCTTCTTCCTCGCCAGCATCTCCTTATCCACTGATGAAGATGAAAGATTCCAGGAATCCGATGGAGCCTACTTATCCTCAAGGTTTTCTGGATGAGATGGAGAACCACCTGAGACAGTGTGACCAGGCTCTAGAACGCATCGAGGCCGTGATGCAGCTCAAGAAGAAGCTCCTCTACCTCAGCAACAGTACCTCGGCCGCCATCGCTGCGACTAGCAACAGGCACGATGTCTATGGCGCTTGCACGAGGCGAGACGATCCAAGCGACAGGACCAGATCGTCCTACCGGCACGCTCGATCCAGGTCCGTGGATCACACCATGGCGAACTCGATGGGATACGATCACATTCATCATCACCATCACCGGGACAGGGCCGTGATGGAGAGTACAACGCCTCGATTCCAACAACACCACCACCGGCGAAGTGTTTCGGACGGAGGAACTCCAGTTTACCGTCCTCCCTACGACATGGAACTGGACATGAGGAGCATGGAGCGTGATCCAGTGACAAAGTATGCGAGAGCCAGATTGTGCGACCCATCGTCGCCACCGCGCAGCAAGACCATGAAGAAGGCCAACCTCGTCACGAGGGCGAAAGAGGAGATTGACGATATCATCCGCGAAAGCTGTTTCCAAACACCTCACATAAGAGATTTGCAGCAGGGGAAGATCGTGTCACTCAATGGCGTTGCCGAGAGCGAGCAGCCGAGCCCAGTGTCGGTCCTGGACAACTCGCACAACGACTCGAGCGAAGACGATCCAGGTAACGCGAAGGATCTTACACAGTTCATAGCTGACAGTACGTTCCTGTCAGATTGTCAAAGAGAGCGAGAGAGCAATCGCAAGAGAGGCGCAGTGGTAAGAGCTCTGTGGGCGGACGAACCAGCAGCGGCAGCATCCCGAAGGCCCGTGCCCCACCAATGCGGGGACGAGGAAGACAATGGGAGCGCGATCGTCACGGCGATGGATCGGCGGTGGTCAGTGGGAATTGGCGCGGAGACGAAGGAGGTGGCGGCAAGAGTGGAGTGCATCATCTTGAGGAGACTAGTGGAGGAGACGATCGTGGCTGTTGCCCTAGCCTGCGCACGCCATCGCGGCCGCACACGTGGCGATCCGTGATAGCAATTTCAAAATCCACACTGTAGGCCTTGCTTTGTGACCTAAAAAAGAGAGAGAGAGAGAGAGAGAGAGCTCTCGTGCTCCATAGCCAGGGCCCAGGGGGAGGCACACACTCACGCTGTTCTTTGTTGGGCTGTGTGGTGCTGGGGAGAAGCAGGCAGCGATGGTGGTGCAAGGAGGGGGCAAGGGCGCAAAGGGGCTGCTGGGCAACAGACCCTCGGCGGTGTCCACAGCTGCGGACAAGGACAAGAAGAAGCCCTTGTCCAAATCGTCTCGAGCTGGGCTACAGGTTCGTCTTTGTGCCCCAAACAGAGGTTGCTGGGTACTGAGATGAGTGGCGGGTGTTTGTGTGCAGTTCCCAGTGGGTCGGATCCACCGCTTGCTCAAGTCCCGCGTCACTGCCAACGGAAGGGTGGGAGGCACCGCGGCCGTCTACTCGGCGGCGATCCTCGAGTATCTCACCGCCGAGGTGCTGGAGCTGGCGGGGAATGCGAGCAAAGATCTCAAGGTGAAGCGCATCACTCCGCGGCACTTGCAGCTGGCTATTAGAGGGGATGAGGAGCTCGACACCTTGATCAAAGGCACCATCGCCGGCGGCGGCGTCATCCCCCACATTCACAAATCGCTCATCAACAAGCAGGCCAAGAAGGACTAGACAATGTATCTCGTGTTTTCCAAGCTGTAGCTAAACTCGTTTGCCTCCTTTGCCTCTGCTGTTCTACACATGATATATGACAGGGAAGGAAATTTATTCTTGTGATCTTCTCCTCTGGGAGCGACAGAAAAGTAAAACGTAGCTAGCTAGCTCGCTCAAAAAGCTCGCGTGATATATGTGAGCAATCCAAAACCGGGGAAGCAAAAAGCGCCGCGACGATTTCAAAGAACAAAAAAATGCCTCTCAGGGGATTTTCCGGATCTGGATCGACTGCAGCATGTCGGAGACGGCGATGACGAGGTCGCCCGAGTTCATCATGCCGCGGGCCTTGAGCAGCGAGAAGGTGCGCAAGATGTTCACCTCCATGTCCGTGGAGAGGTCGAGGCGGAAGGGGATGAGCCCCCACTGCAGGTTGAGCCTCCGCCGCACCGCCGTCGTGTCAGTGAAGGCGAAGATGGGGCAGTCGGGCCGGCACCGCGACAGCAGCGACGCCATGTGACCGTCGCGGGTGTAGACGAAGATGGCGTCCACCCCCAGATTGTTGGCTGGTACAGACACTAGACTGGTCAGCCCGTTGCTCGCACGAGAAAACAAGAATGCTTCTCACCCATGTGTGACGCCGAGTTGCAAATCTGCTCCGACACCCGCTCCGCCGTCTGCCTGTCTGACGATGGCGGAGACAACTCCCGCAGCCGCATCATCTCGTGCCGCTTCTGCTCCCGGCACCACCGCTCGATCCGCAGGCTCACCGTCCGGAGCACGCTCAGGGCCTTGAGTGGGAACTGGCCCATGGCCGACTCCCCCGACAGCATCAGCGCGTCAGCTCGTTGGCGCACAGCCTCGGACACGTCCGCCACCTTTGCATGCAACAGTCGTGCCGTGAGCAGCATTTACCTTGTCGCTTGCTTACCTCGGCCCTGGTGGGTGTCGGGTACTCGATCATCGACTCGAGGAGCTGCGACGCCACAATGACGGGCTTGTTCAGCTGCCGGCACAAGGTCACTATCTCGCGCTGGACCGACGGGACCTGCTCCAGCGGTATCTGCGCTCCCAGGTCGCCACGAGCAACCATGGCTCCATCCGCCACGCGGATGATGTCCTCGAGGTTCTTGAGGGAGTCGCAGCTCTCGATCTTGGCAAACACACCGATCTGCCTGCTTGCCACAACAGGCACTCTCAGGGGCTATGCAGGTGAGGGAAGGCTATGACGCGCACCTGTTGGTCGACCTCGACGCAATGTAGCTCTTGAGGTGCTTGATCACGTCCGCGGTCTTGACGAAGGAGATTGCTATGAAATCCACGCCCTCGGAGATGCCAAAGTCGATGTCCAGCCAGTCCTGGAGCCAGAGGCGAAGCTTGGAGAGGAGTGACAAAAAACGACAAGCGGCAGACCTTGGAAGAGATGGTGGGAAGCATGGCATTGCGCTCACGAACCAGTCGGCCATTCCTCCAAAAGGTAACGTTGGCCCGAGGGAGCAGCAGTCCGGGATCGATGCAGCGGCACTTGACATCGGGTCCAATCTTGTCCACCACCTCAAATCTCACCATCCCTCCGTCCACAACCAGCTCGTCTCCAGCCATCACGTCTGTATGCATGCAGCGGCAATCGCATGAAAAACCACTCTTTTTCTCTTCCTCTTTCTTTACCTTCGGCAAATCCCTCGTAGTTCACCTGGAGAGTGCCCTCGGGAAGAGCTCCATCGAACTTCCGGACCGAGAAAGTCCATTCCTCGCCATCCTGCGGCCGGCGAGCTCACACTCTGTTGATCTCGAAAAGCACGAAACAAACAATGAGAAAGAGAAACCAACCTCGGCTTTTTGGGACGTGACTCCACCCAGATCGCCCATATGGATCTCGCTGCCTTCGGTGTCCATCATGAGCGCCACCGAGTAGCCCTTCATCTCGTTGAGCTGCCGGACGCTCTTGATGACGCCGCGGTGCCACTCCCTCGTGCCGTGGCACATGTTGAGCCGCGCCACGTTCATTCCCGCCATAGCCAGAGCTTCCAGCTGCTCAAAGCCACACGACGCCGGCCCAATCGTGCAGATGAGCTTGGTGCGTCGGGTGCTGCGGAAGCCATTCTCCTTCAATTCGGCCTCGCTCACGCTGTCCACATCGATCCCGGGAGCAATGGAAGGAAACGAGCTCGCCAGGCCAGTCGCACGGGACGGAGCAGCAGCGCCATTGCCTCCATCGCTGCCGCTGGTGCCGCTCACGGCGGGATCTGCCAGGCCGCAATCCACTGCACCGCTCGAGATCCCATCCTTTTTGTACTTTGCAACCATAGCCAGCACGCTCCTTTGCCATGCTCTACTGCTACTTCTGCTACTGCTGCTGGCAAAGAGAGGAAAAGATCGAGGAGCCCTCAAAACCACCCGAGATGACACTGATGGGGATGAGAATGGCCGCCACACTCCCCCACCTCCGCTTCCAGTCCCGGCACAGGCCGCCGCAGCCGCCGCCGTCGCCATGCCCACCACCGCCAACTAAGAGCGACCTTCCCTTCCTCTTTCTCTCTTCTTCCTCTTATTTAGATAGGTTTAAATCACTCCACCATGCAACCACGCCTCGTCCCCTCCGTCCGTTGCCCCTGGCCTCGACGACGATACAAGAATTGCCCGTCCGTCCATCCCAAGTCCAGCCATGCATCAAAAATATCTACTCACACGCAGACACGAGTTTTATTCCTTGGTCATCTCGGCGTCTCGTCTCGGTTAAGAATAAAGAAATAGAATCTGGATCCGCGACTACGCAAGCTAGGTGATAGTTTTGGAACACCAACATACCCAGCGGCAGTATTACTCGTTGTCGGCAAGCTTGGCGATGACCGCGTCCACCACCTGTTGCGTCGTGCTGCTCCCGCCGAGGTCCTTGGTGCGGTGCTTGCCATCCTCCACAACGCCCAGCACCGCCTGCTCCAGCCGGTCCGCAAACGAGGGGAACTGCAGGTGCCGCAGCATCATCGCCGACGAAAGTAGCAGCGCTGTGGGATTCGCCGTCTTCTGCTGCACAAGCTTCTCGTTTCCTACGTTACCGGCCGAGGCGCCCTGCTCGAATATCGCGTGCTCCGCTCCAACGTTGCCTGCGAGCAAGACAATCGCTCGTCTGTCAATCAAATCTTGCAAGAGAGGTGGTGTGTTTGGTTACCTCCGGGCATCACTCCCGTGCCACCCGCAATGCCAGCCGCCGTGTTGGCCACAAGGTTGCCGTAGAGGTTGGGAGTGACCTGCACAGGTTCGTGGATGATAAAACACTGCAATGAAATGGAAGGAGCAACTGGTTACCATGACGTCGAATTGCTCGGGGCGAGACACGAGCTGCATACAGCAGTTGTCGACGATGATCTCGTTGTACTTGATCCCGGGGTACTTCTTGGCCACCTCGCGGCACGACTCCAGAAACAGGCCATCCGCGAGCTTCATGATGTTGGCCTTGTGCACCGCCGTCACCGTCTTTCTGTTGTTCAGGTAGGCGTACTCAAACGCGTACTTGGCAATCCGTTCGGAGCAAAACTTCGTGATCACCTGGTGCGCAAGAAGAAACGTAGCTGGAGCGGCCGAGCAAAGCAGAGGAGAAGAAATTGGAGTACCTTGAGAGACTCGACAACACCCGGGACGACCTCGTGCTCCAGGCCGGCGTACTCCCCCTCGGTGTTCTCCCGGATCACAACAATGTTGACGTTGTCATGGCGGGTCCTGAGGCCGGGGAGATTGAAGCAGTGGACGAGCGACGCAAACAAGTCGAGCTCCTTGCGCAGCTGCACATTGAGGGAGCTGACGCCTCCGCCCACGGGCGTGGCGAGCCCCCCCTTCAAGCACACCTTGTTCTTGCGGATAGAGTCCATGAGCTCGTGCGGCACCTTGTCCATCTTGCCCGTCACCTCGTACGCCTCGAAGTAGACGGGCGCGTGCAGTGCCTTCATCACCTCCACCACCGCCCCCGTGACGAGCGGGCCGATGCCATCGCCGGGGATGAGCGTCACGGCCCGCGGCGCGCCATCGCCAGGCCTGGGCATGTACGTGATATTACGACGCGAGCAGGAGGATGAAGAGGGAGATCCACAAAACCCTAATTCTCTCGCCTGGGGAGGATGGAGAGGAACCGACCCATTGGAGAGCCCCTGCTGCTGTTGCTGCCCTCCTCGCGCCCGCCGCAGCAGTGACACCACACCCCGCCGCAGCATCGCCTTTAGCCGATTGATCGATGGATCGATCTCACCCGCGCACGCACGCGCTCCTCCCTCCCGATCCGATCCACAAGAATTAGCGGAGGCAGCAGCGGCGCCAGCGCCCTCCCGGTGGTGCCATCGCTCGCCTTTTTCTATGGGTTTGACTGGTTTTTAGGGTTAGGGCTAGAGCGGGGGATATGGCGGGTGTTGCGCTCCAAGCATCGCCTCTGACCTCACACAAGATCACGCTCACGCCCGCGCTCATCATGCTGCCCACCGGCAAGAAGAAGAGGAAGAGCAGCCACGCCAAGAAGACCGACCACGCCACTGGAAATGGAAATGCTGGCGATCGCGATGCTCCTCCGGCCGTGGACAGGCTCAGCATCGCGATCCAAGCTCACGTCAAGCTCGATCCCAGCGATCCATCCGCGAGCCCCGTCTCGGTCACCGTCTCCAAGCCCAAACCACTGCCCCACACGAACAGTATCAGTGCTGATCGAGACGAAGAGCACAAGAACGAGAACGCGCCAAAAACAGGGGTGGATTCCAATCCCGGTTCCAAGGTGGCGGCGGCGTGGGATTCACCGGCCATCGCGGCTGCTATGCCTCCTCCATCTTCCAATCCCTATGTCAAAGCAGCAGTGGCAGCACGGAAGAGCAAGCACAGAAGTGGTGATCAAGCTCTGCTGCTGCTGCCGCCAGAGATTGTTCCGGAGCGCATCAGACAATGCTTGCTCTCGCGATCTCGCTCTCGCAAAGCTGCATCATCGCCCTCGTCCACCAAGTCGTCTCCTACTACTCCCGCAGCAGCTTCTCGACCTCGATCCACACCCACAGCTGCTACTGTTACTCCAGCTCCTCGCTCGTCTGTCTGCAAGCAGCACAAGAATCTCAGCGCCCTTGCTGAGTTGCAAGCAAATGATCGTGAGAGTGGCAGCAGCACGAGTAGCAACGATACCTTGTTGGCTCCTCAGTTCTTCAGGCGCGCAAATTCATCTCCTCGCAATAACAAGACATTGAACAAAACCAAGACGAAGAAACAATTCTGGGAGTGGGAGGACCGATCGTCGTCAGACGGCGGCGATCGCGTGAGAGCCGTGGCCAAGCCGAGATCAATGCCAAGGATTCCATCTAGAAGAAAGCACGCTAGCGCTGCTCCCGCGCGGCATGCCGAGGTTGATGATCATCAGGACCCCTACTACTATCACAGCATCCCCAGGCGCAGGATGACATACCGCTCCATGATCCAGCCACTGCATTCTAAGATCCAGGAGGTGGCGTCCAGAATGTATGGCGGCGAGCTCCGGGCAAGTGATCGGGCGAGGCATCAGCGAGACCGGAGGCGATTGAATCCGTGATATCCTTGATGAGGCCAGTGATCAACAGCAGGGGCCGCGTGGTGGTGAGCTTTGGAAGGCACAAAGGCGAGGAACTTGCGCGTCTCCCAGACAGCTACTTGCAATGGATGGCCGGCACTCTCCAGCAAGATCAGTGCTCCATCTGGGGAGCGCTCGCCCAGCAGGAGCTCGATACTCGCACCGGCAGTAGCAGCGGCAAGGAGAGAGTCTCCGACGTGGTGGACGTGTTGGAGCGATGGAGCGCGGACAAGCAGCTGGACATCAACAGCTATGGATTCCTCCTCCGCCAGGCGAGGAGCATTCAAGAGGGCCGGAGGATCGTGGCGCACATCGTGAGGAGGGGTCTGGCCAAGCACACCTTCCTCAAGAACCTGGTGATGGACATGTTCAAGCGCTGCGGGGAGCCGGAGGAGGCCGTCCGTGTCTTTCTGGATCAGATGGAGAGGAGGAACCACTTCTCGTGGAACATCGTCATGTCGGCACAGCTGCAGCTGGATCACAGTGGCGAGCGAGCCAAGCGGACCTTCGACCGGATGCCAATGTGGGACGTTGTCTCGAGGAACGTGATGATCGCCGCATTTGCCCAGGGCGGTAAACCAGAGCAAGCAGCGCAGCTCTTCCAAGCTTGCGGCGATGGTGGTCGCGACCGGGTGTCTTGGAATGCAATCATCGCAGCTCACAGCCGCTGCTCTTCCACTGCCAGGCGCGCGTTGGAACTCTTTAGCCTCATGGACGCCCAAGGTGACTACCATCCGCCCGACGTCTTCACGCTCGTCAGCGCCTTCGAGGCCTCATCTTCTTCTTCTTCGTCGTCGTCGTCGTTCTTGAGAGTTTTCGGAAGGGCGCTTCACCAAGAGGTGGCGGAGCTTGGGATCAGCGACGTAGCAGTCGGGAACAGCCTGGTGACCATGTATGGAGCGTGGAGGAGCAGCAGCAGCGCCAAGGCGGTGTTCGACGGCTTGAGCGGACGCGACGTCGTGTCGTGGAACGCGATGCTGGCAGCCTTGGTCAGCAGTGAGGAGATGGATCTAGCAGTGGAGGCGTGGCACAAGATGGCATGCCACAACCTCGTCTCCTGGAATGCTGTGATTGCTGTGTGCTCTCGGCGGGGGGACTTGGCTGCTGCTCTGTCCGTCTTCGAGTGGATGCCCGATCGCGACTTGGTGTCGTGGAATGCCATCCTCTCGGCCTGTGTCCAGAACCGTGAAAACGAGCAGGCTCTTGAGCTCTGGGAGCGGATGCAGCAGGACGCCGTCAAGGCCGATAAGATCACTCTCACCACGCTGCTGGATGCCTGTGCAAACCTGGGACTGGATGCGCTGGGAGCGTCACTGCTACAGTGCACCATCAAATGGAACAGCGGGGAGCCGGACGTCGTTGTGGCCAACGCGGTGCTCAACTTTCACGTCAGGTGTGGGAACGTGAGCGATGCCAAAGCGGTGTTCGAGACGATCGAGTACCGGAGAGACGTGGTGTCGTGGAGCAGCATGGTGGCAGCGGTGCATCACGACGTGGCCGAGGCTTTGGACCTCCTGCGGCTCATGCTGCTGGATGGAGTTGCTCCCAACAAGATCACCAGCCTCTGCGTCCTGTCCGTGTGCAGCCATGCCGGAGCCTTGGACGTTGGCTGCTCGTTCTTCCTGAGCTTGGAGGCCGACTACCACACCCGGCTGGCGCTGGAACACTACATTTGCATGATCGATCTCGTCGGCCGAGCAGGCAACTTTGATGGAGCGCAAGAATTGATGCACTCGATGCCGTTCGAAGCAGACAATGTGGCATGGAGGATTTTGATGGCCGCTTATCTGCAATATTATTCTGCCTAGAAAAAGCAGCAAAACGAGCTGTTTACCTCATGAATCTATACACGCCGACCGATCGATCGACATGTTTATCTACATGAGCGAGACGTAAGTTCCACCGTGTCCCCGCTTGAGAACCAGTGGACCAGCTATGTCCGGCACCTTGTCTAGAATCCGAGCGCACATATCAAGCACGTCGGGGAAGCCCGAGGCCAGAGTTGTGAGCTGTGTTCGTAGCCTGAAGTCGCCTACGTGCTTGAGTATACTCCTGAACGACTTGGTGATCTCGTGTGGCATGCCAGAGGTGAGCCACTTCGAGAAGTCCAGGTGGTCGCCTCTGGCCAACACTTCTGACCGGTAGATTCGAGCTAGCTCCATGAGCGTGGATGGACGGAGCGGCAATGACGCCACAAACTCGGTGAGGAAGTGCTCGATCCAACCTGGTGACAGCACCTGGTTCCACAGCACAGGAACCCACTCCGCGGGCTGGTTGAGGCCGTAGGCTTCTGCTACTATCAATGCTTCCTGGAACCGGCGCTGGTCTACTAGCAAACGTCGAGCATTTGTTTCCGTCAGGTTGAGCCACATGATTTCTGGCATTCTGAGCTGCAACGAGAGCAACGAGGCCTGAGCGCAGCACCACCTTGTCTTGTTTCCACAATCAATCCCCGCATACACCTCCGACGCTTCCACAAAGAACCTCATTATCTCCAGCACCTCTTCGTTCTGCTCTGGATCGTTCCTAATGGACCGAGTTAAGCCTTTCCGTCCTCTTGATTCCAAAAGATTAGCCATCTCGTGGGCCATGCTGAAATGGCTGAACACCTGCGCATACAAGAAAAACGGACGCTTAGGCAACAAAGCAGATGACGGTGCGAGAAGTTACTAACCATTCCAAACGCGTCTAAATCATGCGGGTTGAAGTGCTTCAGAGCTGAGATAACGGCCATTCGGAAGCCTCGGACAGATGCCGATGACTCCTTCAAGGCATCAACAGCAGCACGTTTCTTGAGCAGCAACTCCAGTTGACCGTTTTCTATCAGCAGATCCAAGACAAAACGCAGAGCTTGGAAGTTGCTCACACCTGTTACCAACCGGGCAAGGGCTGAGAAGTCTCCTTCAGCCACATAAGCTTCCACTCTAGTGGCTGCTAGAGCAACCAGCACGTCCATTCCATCAAGACATGCAGATGACTCGTAGAATTGATGCGCTAGTATAAGTAGCTCCACCTGTGTGTTGTACCGAGTCAAGGATCGCACAAGACGAAAGAAAAAGTTTGTACCTCGCAAGCGTGCGGCATATCATGCCCACTTATTACTAGTCGCATCAAAGCATGTCCAAGTTCTGGTTCAGATGGACATAGCTGACCCCATTGTACAAAATCGGATGATCGCCATAACAGTGGTGCCGGTCCCTCCTCCTTCGAGGAAGACGAGTCCATGTATCCACCGCGATGTGCAGCAAGGAGACCCTGGATATATCACAAAGAAAAAGAAATAACGAAAGAAATGAAAGACTTAAAAAACCACACCTTGAGAAATGACTCGGCCAAAATGCGAGCAATACTGGATGCGTTGATCGAATGGGTGGCCACCAAAAGTTTAGCTTCTGAAACAGCATCTTGGCCTTTTAGAGAAAGAAGCTGAAGCAGTTCAGTCGGATGCTTTTGGAAGGCTTCAAAGAAAGGCAGGTCCAAAAAGTTGGCAATCTGAGCCACGGCAGTAACTCGTCTGCAATGGCCACGACCACAGCCTTCTCGACATGCCGCAGTCAAAGCCTCCATAGCCTGAGCAGAACAGCCAAGTTAAAACACAAAAAGGAACGGACAAGTTCTTACCTGAAGAGGCGAAGCAGACGAGACATCTTTCAACTTCAGTTTGTTGAGCGTCTTCATGACAGGTGCACCCAAAGCTGATCCTCTTATTGATCCCTTCACAGTAGGACTCGAGAGCATGGCAACGTTGTAAGCCGTCTCAGCCCAGACAAGCTCTGCCGGTACACGACTGGGTGACAACTTTTGTTGAAGTTGTCTTGCTGCTTGCACCTGACCAACTTCAACGAGCGCGAGAATCGCTCTTTCAACTTCCCCCTCCCCAACCTTGTCTTCCCAGCCAGCAGTAGAGTCTTCGTCAGTGATCTTCAACTTGTTGTCCATATCAGGTGATGTTTGTTCCTTCTCCTGGCCACGTCTAAGAAGTCTGCGTTTTGGTTTAGACCCTCCGTCTTTACCACCAGAACCTACGGGGCTGTGAACCTGCCGAATATCGTCCATTATGTCTGCGTGCATAGAGTTGAAGACTTTGAGGTGGCCATCAACAGTTGCAATCTTAGCTGCCGTGCGATCAACAGGGCTCCCGCTGTGCATGCTGAATGGACTTTCCAGATTTAGTGCTCCAAGCCTAAAAGTTGGACTGTTTGAGCTGCTGCTCTTCATCAAAACTTCAGATTCCACGGCCAAGAGCCACACTCTAGTCTCAAGTTCACGGAGCAGAGGAACCGGATAGACACTGGAAAGAAACATTAAAGTTAAACAAAGAAAATAATGTGAAGTATCACATACGGAGCTGATCCAGTGATCGAACCGCTAAGCCATTGAAGTGCCAGCAGCAGTACTGCATGCAGCTCTGCAGGTAGGCCATGTTGCTCAATGTCCTCAGCGTGCTTCAAGAAAAACATACCAGCCTGAAAAAAAAACACAAAATGTCGGCAAGGCTATAACAAGCAACTAAAAACACTACCTTGAGCGGAGGGTACGAATGTTTAGTGAAAAGCGCCTGACAGTGCCGCCATAGTGCTGCTCTTTGCTCGGGTACATCCCAAAGCAACTCCTTCCATTCGGCAACCATTGCCTCTGCCTGAAAAACATATCAACACAAATTACTAACCAGAGTTGTTAAGCCGTTTACCTGCATCTCTGTTACGTGATGAACTGCACCCGAATTCCCTTGATTGCTGAGATCAAGTTGCCTCGCCCAACTACGAGCGTCTTCCCATTGACCACTCGCTTCGAGATCTTTTAAAAGAGCGTCGTCATCCAAGTCATCAACCTGCGTTCCCGACTGTCTCCCTTGACGCAATGACGGATCCGCAAGCTGGATTTTCCAGTAAAGCTTTCTGTATCCCATAGCAGCAACACCTCCATCACCAAAATCTGCTGCAGCAAGCAACTGCAACATGCAGCGCTTCTCATAGGCAGAAGGACACGCAGCCAATATCGCATTGGCCCCAGCAATAGCTGCTTTACTGATCCATGTTGTTCCACTTCTTCCACCCCTACTGTGAATTTCTTCTTTCAAAAATGCAGAAAAGTCGGCCAAATGAGCCGAAGCTTCAGACAACCTCATCTGTGAAAAGGCCTGGACACGAAATATGGTTAAAAGCTTGTACAGAAAGAAGAGTAAGCTTACCCGCAGAAATCTAATAAAGTGAAGCAGAGGTGAAGACGGAAGAAACAGCTCGAATGCTTTAAGCAGAGGAATGAACAGCTGCTTTTCGCACAGAGTTGCAACCATTTTTGCCAAAGACTCTTGAGTGCCATCTCCAGCCTGAAGTATCTGGGTTGGTTGCATAGGCTGGCAGGACTCGATAAAATCATCCTCGTTCTGACTTGACAAAAGACGTCGTCTTTTCGCATTGATGCGAGTGTAGACTGGCAACCGATGGTGCGTATGATATACTGCATTTGTAGCATCCACAGCATACCCCACATTAGATGCCAAAGCAGCTCCTACACCATTGGTTTCTCTACAATGCAACTGTTAACTATCTGCAAATCCATAGCCAACTTGGCCTACCTTTCTGCTGTTACTTCCAGCCATGCAGCCACGCACGTGAGTGGAGATACGTCGTTGAAGCAAGAGGCCACTACAGCAAGTAGTGGCCAACGCATGCTTTTTGCCTTTTGAATCAAATCTGCTCCAGGAGTTTTACGACTCTCAATTTCCGCTATCAGTGAAAATAACTCGTTGTGGTCCAAAATTTCCGTGTGATCAGATTTCCCGGACATGCTATTTAAAACAGTCAAAACGTGACTTCGTAGTTGCTCATCTGTAAAATTCTTTGATGCCTGAAATACAGAATATTACGACAATGGGAAAAAAACAAATAGAAGAGGACTTACCACCCCAACAAGTATATCGAGCGGACAACCTTCAGACTGAGCTTCAGCTAGGAATCCAACCTGTCAAAATTTCAGATGTTACGATGCTTGAAGCAAATGAAGTCCTACGTACCCAGTCATCATCTCCAGCCAAGTGAGTAAGGTAAACTGTACTGAGTGCCAAGTGATGAACTCGGCAAAACGCCGTTACCAAACTCCAACGTTCACTCATTGACATCTGAGACGTACGCAGTTCTTGTCCATTTCCCTCACCTGTCTTAAGCCATAGCCCGTTTGCGTCTTCTCCAGTCATACTGGCTCTTTCTAGGTGCTCTAAAATAAGTGAAGTGCAACGCTTGTCCGCTTCACCAGCTACACCTGTTTCCGTATAACTATTGGATAGCGATTCTGCAAGATAGTTTGACACATCTTCGCCCGAGGATTCACTTTCAGCGATTCGACGAAGAGCGGCTATGTCAGTGCGTAGGGCGGTAGCAGACACGCCACAGAGCTCTAGCAGCAGAGAACATGCAGCGGTGACCACATCGTTTCTAAAATTACGTACACCAAGAGGCTTCACCTGCACAGCACCGGTTTTACAAAAAGCGTCCAGGCGGGAGAAACTTACCAGGCAAAGCAGGTCTTCCTCAACGTGAGAAAGCACACCATCATCTCCAGACCTTCCTTCATTAGCTCGTAGCGACATTAAATAACTAAACGCAGCGAGTGGACATCCTTGAAGGAGTTGAAGTTCAAGCTTAGATTCTGGGGTCTGAAAGACAAAACAACCGTCATGAGGAGGAAAACGACATAATAAGTTCAAACCTCTAACGAGTTCAAATGAATCTGCTTGTCAATCCTCTTTTTTATCGATTCCTCCCAAGACGCTGGGCTCATGAAACTTTCTCCAACACCGCCTCCCTGT